TCTATGTGCTTCAGAAGCCAAGTTATCTTATCTGACAGAATAAATCCTTATTCTTTAGTTCTTTAGAGCAACATATTTTCAGACTGTTTCATGAACTTTTAAGAGTTAAATTTATCGACTATGAATCATAACTTAACTCTAGGTAACAGAAACAGTTTAGAAATGTTTGGAATATATTGTAGATGTTTATTTAGTATTTTTAACCATTAGGTGGTTATAATGTCATTGAATAATCTGAATGTGAGTATTTAGAATCCATTATTAATCATGATGAAGTTCATTCACATGTATTTACTCTTTTGTTGTTCACAGTTTCCATGTGTTACTATCTGTTTCATTTCAGAGTAATTTAGCATGTTTAATGTGATACTTAAAACATAATGAGAATGTCTGATGTGATCCTACACTTCATTCATATGTGTTTAGTGTCAAATTATTTATCATGAAACCAAGCATTCAATGATATTAATCATAGTGAGTGAGTATCAGATCTGACTCTTTTACCAGCCAAAAGTATAAGTTAGATCAAATAATCAGAGATTCCACGACCCCTCCTCTGTCTCACACACACGCCGGAGCCACTCCCAGTGTGAGAAGATAAAACCAGTGAAGTCGGGTTGCTCACGCTCTTATTTTCTCTTATCTCTTATTCCTCTTATGCTTCTGCTCTTCTGCTGAATCTCTTGTCCCCGGCTCTTATGCCCCTTCTCTTCTGCCCACACCCTTCTGTGGTGCGTTTCTTTATTTTCTCTTAGAACTTTTTCTTAGTCTTCTAAGTTTTACGCCACGTGTTGATTCACGTTGATTTTTCTTTAACATCGTCTTAGTTCAAGTTTTGAAACTTCAACTTTTTGTGCACATAGCAATTCAAGATTAAGCCTTTGATTGATTTTTCTTTAATTTCGCGAAGCCATTTTTGAAAGTTTTCTCTGCTCTTTGAGCCTCGTTTTTCTGAGTTTTCTGCGTGATTCAAAGTCACCTCTGAACGCAACCCAGCAGGCCCAGGTCATCCTCTGTGCCAGAGTTTTTAAGTGAGACCAAAGAAGTACCCAAACGAGCATCCACAGGATCCACAGGCGCTGGCTTTGTTTCGGGCCCGAGTGCTGCAACTCCTGGCTCATCCTTCGGCTGACTTCAGTCGTCTTCTGAGCTGAACCGCTCGAACCGCCAGTAGCCCTGGACCTTCGGAACCTGCTCCATCTTCTCCAAGGACCAGTCTCACTTAAGTATGCAAACCTCCAGAGCTCCAGAGAGGGCTGGTGCTGTCTCATGCGTTCATAACTCAGATATCCACCTATTTCTGGTGATCTTAGATTCCTCCAAATCCACATCCGAGTTTATCTCGACACCAAAGTTAGTGTAGGTTAATATGTTAGCGCATATTCACTCACTATCATTAACTTTAGTGCTCCTAGCCTGACTCAGAATCTTTATTTATTCACCTATTATTATTTTATCCTCATTATCTTATCATTTATTGCATGTGTGTTGTACCATCATTTATCCTGTAATAAACAGATCATTATTTTTCTAAGTTCCTGTCTGTTAGTGTTCTTCCAGAAGTGGAGTCCCTGAAATTAGAATTTCGACTTAAGATATGAGACTGATTAATTAAGACTGATTAATTAAGACTGATTAATTAAAACTGACTTGATGTTTGATTTCTGAATTAAACTTTTGTTTTCTTTATTTTCCCACCATTAAGGGTGGGTGGTGCCCCTTTCAACGAGTGCATAAATGTCATAATTTGAGATTATTAATCTTCAGACATTTATTATAAATTCCAATCGCCAAATATATTTTGGTGCGACCGTGTGAGGCTCATTTCAAATCACTACATATATTTTGGTGCCCCTGCGTGAGGCGTTTCAAACAAAACTTCTGGATACTAACAGACAACCTAAAACTTAGCCTTCCAAATTGATGAGACAAACTTATTTTCAGGCTGTTTTAGACTTAATCACAATCAATGCTATGCTTGCTGAAGTTGCTTGACTAAGTTCTGATGTTTTCATGATCTATGCATAAAACCTTTATGCTCTGTGTTTCACACACTCTTGTACTACATGCCTGTAGTCTGTGTTTGAGCTGGACAGCGTGAAATGTTGTTCTGAGTAGCAGTGAGACTGACTCCTCTGCTCTGTCTAGACTGTCCAATATTTAAATGCACGATTGTGGCGTCGCCGTACGCTTGTATTTAAGGCCTTTGGCTGAACCCAGTGTTCGCGATGCTCCGAGCTGTGGTTTCAAGCCCCTGAAGTCTCTGTAGTCTGCTACGAGGTTCTAGTAACTATATGGGATTCAGATTTCCTCCTTTCCCGTCACAGATTAGCTATCTGTCACAGGAAACCACTGTAACAGTGGGAGGTTGTTGTTTGATTGAATTCAGACAAAATTTGTGTTCACAAATCGCCGCATTTGTGATTTTTTTAAAAGTCTGCAGTTGAATCTGCTGTTGAGGGATTTGTCACTTTGATTCTTGTCTCTATAGTCTGCTACGAAGTTCTAGTAACTATATGGGATTCAGATTTCCTCCTTTCCCCTGACAGATTAACTACCTGTCACAGGAAACCACTGTAACAGTGGGAGGTTGTTGTTTGATTGAATTCAGACAAAATTTGTGTTCACAAATCGCCGCATTTGTAATTTTAAGTTTGCAGTTGAATCTGCTGTTTAAGGATTTGTCACTTTGATTCTTGTTCCTGTAAATGATTTTATTGAACCAATCTGCCTGAGCAGATGGTGTAAAGTTCTATGTTTGAGGGTGCAGACGCAGCCTGCTGTGAAATGTTAACCCTTTGTTGTCAGTGGAGAGACTGACCCTTTGGCCTTAAGCAGATAAGGCCCTTCAAGGAGGCAGAGCCTAAAGGCCCCTTCCTGCACACTTCCCAACTCCTCACAGCCACAAGAGGCTAGTTGGATGACTGTTTCCTCTTCTCTTCTTCTTCTCCACTTGTGTTGAGCTTGTGCAGTTACCCCAACTCCATACTGCCCCACATGGTTGTTTTTGGTATTGAGCTAACACTGCTATTATCTGCCTGCAGTATCAGCCAGCTGTACTGCCTCTCTGTAGTCAGTGTGTAACACTCTACAGACATAACTCAAGTGATTGACTTGGTTGATGAAGTTTGATGTGCTTATTCTAAATCATTGATCATTGATTTTTGATTTTTATCTTTGTTATAAGAGCCTACATAATGTATTGATAAAGTAACTCCTTGAATCAATCACCTGATCTGTTGTTACTTATCACACCATTGAGCAGTTTTACTGTTCCCTATAATACATGAATGTATTAACCCTCCTCATAAGATTAATTAATTAATGAACAAATTAATTAATATTTGAAATCTATTTTACCATTTCAGATGAATTGGGTAGTTGAATCTTTGGCTTTATTGCGATTTGTGAATTAACTTCAGAGTTAATTCCTTAAATTGACAATTTCATTGGTTTCAGATTCATCCAACTGCATCAGGCAGTTTATTTAAGCTTTGCTGATCTCTGCAACACGGAGACAATTTGAACCCTTTATTCAATGGTTCTGTATCTGATGTTAAATTTAATTTAACATTATTTCACCTTGTTTTATTTCAATTTTCATTGAAATGAAGTTAACTTTATGTTATTTTTCTCTCCATTAGATATCTACTCAGATAGGCTCTTCCTCTTTATCAAGCATTGATAAATTAAGTCGATTAACTCACTTAATTTGATATTGTACTTCTTCCTTTCAGTTTAAGTCAACTCAAACTCATCAACCAACCACCTGCACCTCTTTACCAAAACCAAACATGCCTAACACAAAAGAGTCCAGCCAGGGAGACCCCCTGAGGGACATACACACAGTGTTGGCAAACTTGACTAGTCAGTTGATACCTCAGTACATGACTAAGATTCAAAAGGCCAAACCCTCCAATCCGGAGGATGCAATGGCTGACTTACTGGAAACAGCCTTAACCACGACACTTCGTGACAAAGAGCTCACTAGATGCATGTCTGTCATGATGTCTTCTCAGCTTGAGTATAAAGACTACTTGCTGGAATGCGCTTTAGCAAAGATAAAGGCGCAAAAAGACGAAAACAGCGCTCTGAAAAAGACGTTAGAGGAGACTAAGAAGTCTCTAAGTGTTTTAGAAAAACACAGTGCCAGATGTGAAGCGTCAAAGCTTCCCTCACTAAGTCATGAAGAAAATCTTGATCTCAAAGACAAGATTGAAAGACTTAATGAAACCCTTTACAAAAAGGAGAAAGAACTTGATGACACGAATAAGCAGCTTGCTAAGACCACAGAGGATCTGATACAGTCAGAATCCCTACTAGAGCAAGCAACAGAAGATGTAAAAACTTTGAAAGCATTGGTCAAAGTGCGTGCTGAAGCTCTTGAAGCTAAGGAGAAGCAAACTTCTACCTTACAGCACCAGCTCCAGATAGCTCAGAGACAGTTAATTCTTTGTCAAGAACGGCAAGAAAAGACAGACAAAGAACTTGAAGATGCCCAAAGAGAGTTACAATGCTCCCTCCAGTCAGGTCGAGCCCAAAGAGAACGCATGGAGCAAACTTTTCTTGAAGAAATGATAGGTGATCAGCCTCCTGAGAGAGCGCCATCACTTCCTTCCAAACCAACTCTTAAGTATCTCTCTCAGCATCATGACAGGACCCTGCTTGACCCTGAGAGGTCATCCTTAAACCAAGAGTCCTACTCTCCTCCCCATGATGGCTTCTTACCATTTCCCTCAGATAGGGATCTTGACAAAATTGCTCGCAACATAGCATGCTTTGAACCTGAGCACCAAGGTGCTACTGACACCTGCACCTACTTGAAAGACATTGACTTTTACCTGAGGAAATTTCCAGGTGCAACCATTGATGACAAAATCTACCTTATTAAGGCGACGTCAAGTCGAGAGGTTAGCAGTTTCCTTGAACGACAGCCTTATCATGTCAGAAATAATTATGACTTGCTCTGCCAAGCATTAATTGAAGAGTTTTCTGATCATTTGACCCAGACAGGCCTTTCTGCTGCTCTGTCTATTAAACAAGGGAGATCAGAATCTCCCCAACATTATTACAACCGCTTACGCGAAGCTTACTTTGGTTTCCGAAATGAACCAGAAATGGAGGAGGACTTGAACTTCAAAACGCTGTTCGTCCAGAACCTCCACCCTACCACCAGTCATCACCTTGGCGTCTTAGCTTGTCCAAACACTTCGACTAGCCGACAGCTTCGTGAACTTGCTGTAAAAGGTTTTGCCAAACAACGACAAACTTTGGCTAAGAGAGCAGAGCCCGTTACTCTCTTGGCTATGGAGACAAAATCACTGCCCATGGAGCTGAACGAAGCTTCAGACTGTGTTTTTTCAGGCTTCGATAAGCCTCCAAATGAGTGGTTAACCAGGCCTCCAAAACCTTTTCGACCTCAACAAACTCACAAAGGTCAAAGTTACACACCAAGGCCCAGTTCTGACACAGACCAACGCCAGGTAAACTTTGAGACCAACCGTTGTTATTCAGACTCCCGTCACGGTGGGTTTTATCCCAGACAAAGGAAAAACCATCAACACCGCCAAAGGGGGGTGAATGACTGGCAGAATCAGAGTAAATTACACTCTCAGAAACGACGATCTTATTATCCACCTCAATCGGTTTCATCCACTTTGAAGGTGAATAAACATGACTACTCAGCTAACCACTGAGATTAACACTGTGGAGTCATGAAGGTGTGAGTCCTGTGAAAGCAGAAGTCACCTAGCCAAAGCTAAATGACTCCAATAAGATATCCAAATGCTGTGGTGATACATTGATGACTGCAACCCCAGTTGCTGCTTTCTTTGTTAGCATTTGTCTCTCCTCTGTCAATATAGTCAGCTTGTCAGCTGTCAAATATCCCATGAACAGATTAAAAGCTGAAATTTCTGTCACTAAGACTCAGATTGACAAATTTCAGACTCAACAGCAGATAATTAGTCAAACCGATAAGAGCATCATCCCCAAGTTTAACAGACAAAGTTTAAGAGAAACTCTGTGCAGTAAACTTTTGATGTTTGTGATTCAGGTTGACTATGCTCATACACAGATGGTTAATATGTCTATAGCAGACATTTCTTTTCTTAAGTCTTAACCATTTTTGAAACTGAAATTGAACTTTCAGACTTCTCCAGCAAGCATGAAAAACAGCTATAGCTTTAGATCCAGTTAGCATTCAGACTAAAGAGTGCTTTTCTAAATCTCATTAATACTGAAAATTAGGAGATTTTCTTTCACATTAGTCTACCAATAGTTAACTGAGAAAAGTCTAACACCTAGACGATTTTATTTGATAGCTTAATGCATGCTTGATGTTATCTTAAAGCAGATACTAGTGATTCACATAGTGATAATGAGACGCATCAGTCCTATTTGCATACACCTGCTGCTGCTGCTGCTGCTTCATGGTTGTCTACTCGTCGTCCCGATGCTCCATGGACAGGACCACCGTGACGAAGGGGGGACTGTAGCAATCAAGACAACCCTGGATGTGAAACCCACACATTCCTCACAGGAAAGCTTCCTTATCTGGTCCCAGGAAACAGGATATAAATCTTTCCAGACGTGTTTGCCCTTTCAGGTTAAATAAGTGACCCAACAGGAGGTTGACTAAACCTCTGACTCTTCACGATTGGTCAATTCGGAGAACAGAGACAGAGTTTTATTACCTTTCAAACTGACTCCATTTGCTGACCATCTAAATAAACATTAACGTCTCAACCCAGATCTCCCATTTGAGATTTAGTGTCTTAAAGTGTGTGAACATACGGACCCTAGGAAAAGGGGGGACACTGACCTCCAGACCTCGGTCGTAAAACCCTGCTCAACCATACACTGATAAAGACTGCATTCCTTTGGTGAAAGAATACAAATGACTGATCATGACATCTTATGCATTCAGCAATGTACTAATCTGTCTAATCATGAAATTTGTGTTAAAATGAGATGTTTCCCGTTTTTCTATGTGCTTCAGAAGCCAAGTTATCTTATCTGACAGAATAAATCCTTATTCTTTAGTTCTTTAGAGCAACATATTTTCAGACTGTTTCATGAACTTTTAAGAGTTAAATTTATCGACTATGAATCATAACTTAACTCTAGGTAACAGAAACAGTTTAGAAATGTTTGGTTTATATTGTAGATGTTTATTTAGTATTTTTAACCATTAGGTGGTTATAATGTCATTGAATAATCTGAATGTGAGTATTTAGAATCCATTATTAATCATGATGAAGTTCATTCACATGTATTTACTCTTTTGTTGTTCACAGTTTCCATGTGTTACTATCTGTTTCATTTCAGAGTAATTTAGCATGTTTAATGTGATACTTAAAACATAATGAGAATGTCTGATGTGATCCTACACTTCATTCATATGTGTTTAGTGTCAAATTATTTATCATGAAACCAAGCATTCAATGATATTAATCATAGTGAGTGAGTATCAGATCTGACTCTTTTACCAGCCAAAAGTATAAGTTAGATCAAATAATCAGAGATTCCACGACCCCTCCTCTGTCTCACACACACGCCGGAGCCACTCCCAGTGTGAGAAGATAAAACCAGTGAAGTCGGGTTGCTCACGCTCTTATTTTCTCTTATCTCTTATTCCTCTTATGCTTCTGCTCTTCTGCTGAATCTCTTGTCCCCGGCTCTTATGCCCCTTCTCTTCTGCCCACACCCTTCTGTGGTGCGTTTCTTTATTTTCTCTTAGAACTTTTTCTTAGTCTTCTAAGTTTTACGCCACGTGTTGATTCACGTTGATTTTTCTTTAACATCGTCTTAGTTCAAGTTTTGAAACTTCAACTTTTTGTGCACATAGCAATTCAAGATTAAGCCTTTGATTGATTTTTCTTTAATTTCGCGAAGCCATTTTTGAAAGTTTTCTCTGCTCTTTGAGCCTCGTTTTTCTGAGTTTTCTGCGTGATTCAAAGTCACCTCTGAACGCAACCCAGCAGGCCCAGGTCATCCTCTGTGCCAGAGTTTTTAAGTGAGACCAAAGAAGTACCCAAACGAGCATCCACAGGATCCACAGGCGCTGGCTTTGTTTCGGGCCCGAGTGCTGCAACTCCTGGCTCATCCTTCGGCTGACTTCAGTCGTCTTCTGAGCTGAACCGCTCGAACCGCCAGTAGCCCTGGACCTTCGGAACCTGCTCCATCTTCTCCAAGGACCAGTCTCACTTAAGTATGCAAACCTCCAGAGCTCCAGAGAGGGCTGGTGCTGTCTCATGCGTTCATAACTCAGATATCCACCTATTTCTGGTGATCTTAGATTCCTCCAAATCCACATCCGAGTTTATCTCGACACCAAAGTTAGTGTAGGTTAATATGTTAGCGCATATTCACTCACTATCATTAACTTTAGTGCTCCTAGCCTGACTCAGAATCTTTATTTATTCACCTATTATTATTTTATCCTCATTATCTTATCATTTATTGCATGTGTGTTGTACCATCATTTATCCTGTAATAAACAGATCATTATTTTTCTAAGTTCCTGTCTGTTAGTGTTCTTCCAGAAGTGGAGTCCCTGAAATTAGAATTTCGACTTAAGATATGAGACTGATTAATTAAGACTGATTAATTAAGACTGATTAATTAAAACTGACTTGATGTTTGATTTCTGAATTAAACTTTTGTTTTCTTTATTTTCCCACCATTAAGGGTGGGTGGTGCCCCTTTCAACGAGTGCATAAATGTCATAATTTGAGATTATTAATCTTCAGACATTTATTATAAATTCCAATCGCCAAATATATTTTGGTGCGACCGTGTGAGGCTCATTTCAAATCACTACAACTAGCTAACTAAATTCAGTTGTGGTCAGTCTAGATCTGTGCGCACACACGTAAAGGGGGCGGGGTCAGTGCCACCGGACCATTCTCCACAATGAAGAAGGCTGCACATCATATTTCACAGCCGAGGAGCATCGTTTTACGCTAATACGAGGAGTACTGCAACATTATAACATTGAGGAGCAGGACAGCCAAAGTCGCTAAAAGCCGGAGAGACTGCCGGCAAAAAAAATCATCGATCGTGTAAATTTCATTTGTGCGTTGATAAATTTATGGCCCCCTAATATGTTGTCATGCTGCGTGTGTGATAACCTCCATCATTGACCTCATTATTTCAGATACAACAGCAGTAGGGAAAAGAGTACGTGGGAGCAAATAAAAATAAATCTAAAAACATCCGTCAAAGTGGTTAGCTGGTTTACTGGAAGATTTTATTTGTATATATTTCAACGCGTAAACAGTGATTTCCTCACACTGCCTTTTTTTTCTTTTTTCTCCATCATCTGATGGTCACATGTCATCTGCAGACACATTTGGGGTTAAGAGGAGTTTTCTAATCTACTTCAATAAATTCTGAATGATGACTGATATGCCGCATGAAACTTGAACTTGGAGCTTGGCAAATATTAGTGTATTGCTTCCATTTCATGTTACCTGACTATTGAGGCCGTCTGAGGAAAACCTGTAACGTTCATAGAGAACGTCATCAGGTAAATCAAATGGATTTAAACGATCATGAATATAACGCTCTCGGCAAAGCGCTCCTCTCACCATCCATGCAGCGATGTCAACAATCTTGGCCCAATCTTTGACCAGCCCTGGCATGAACAACATGCTGCAGGGTCAGAGTTGACGCGCTGCCTATGGCGAGCGCTTTTAACTTTGCTCGCCAGTGGCATCTGGTAAAATAAATTAAAATGACTTAAATTGATACATGAAAGTTAATAAATTGCTAACAACAGCATAAATAGCTTAAGTGAAATGGCATGCTTTTAATATTTTTTTTCTTATTTTGTACAGAGATGACCTAACCATTATTTCAGAAATGTTAGCAAAATGACTCATCAAATAACAAAGAAAATTCAAAATAATACTAAAAATTAAGTACTCAGTGTTTATCAATCATCAATTGAATATAAAAAGCGTAAATACTGCCAATCAAGGGCATATATTTATGATAAAAAACAATCTGCAGTGGTCGCACCACATGATAATTGGTCGCACCGCATGACATTTCAAATTTAGTCAAATCTTACTGATACAGGATTAGTCACATAAACAAACCTCACTAGTTTCCCACAAAAGGTCACTATGAAATTTATAATTAAAATACTTATTTGTGGAAATAACTTAAATTAATTGTTTTTTTTTAGGTCATACCACATGACATCGAAAAGTGCAAACACCATTACAGCAGTTGAAAAGGTCTCTTTTTTTTAAAGAAATGAGAGAACCACCAACCCTCTTTCTGCTTCCATAGCTCTACTACAAAATGGTGAATGATCCAACATCCTGTCCTTGAGTAAATTTCAGCATAAAAGTGTCAAAAATTGTCATTTTTTGATGGTCGCACCACATGATATTTAATGAAATGGACACGATCGGACAAAATTTGTTTGAATATTATGAAAAAATTATAACTGCAAAAGCTTTGCAATTTTGTACAGGAATAAAAAACACTTTCAAAATTATGCCGAATATTGCAGAAACTAAATTGTAATAGATTTAGAGTAGTTTCAAAGAAGTTTTCAAAACAGAAGTCATGGCCGGACGGTCGCACCACATGATATTTTGACCCTTTGAAGTTAAAAAAAATTACAAAAAACTCCTGATTTTTGAAAAGTTGAAGTGGCTCCATATATTAGAGAGATACTACAAATAGATGGTATATTTTTTTACATTTAAAACTCTTTGTAACATAAAGAAAATACAGCCGGACAGAATATTGAGGCGTCACGTCATTGACCCATATACATATATATACATACATATATATATACATACATATATATATATATATATATATATATATATATATATATACATATACATATACTATATATACATATACATATATATATATATATATATATATATTTATATATAGTACAGGCCAAAAGTTTGGACACACCTTTTCATTCAATGCATTTTGTTTATTCTCATTACTATTTAAATGGTACATTCTCACTGAGGGCATCAAAATTATGAATGAACACATGTGGAATCATGTGCTTAAGAAAAAAGCGGAAACAACTGAAAACATGTTTTATATTTTAGATTCCTCAAAGTAGCCACCCTTTGCTTTTTTGATGGTGCTGCAAACTTTTGCTGTTCTCTCAATGAGCTTCATGAGGTAGTCACCTGAAATGGTTTTTACCTCACAGGTGTGTCTTGTCTGGGTTACTTCGTCAAAAGCAAAGGGTGGCTATTTTAAAGAAACTAGAATATCAAACCTGTCTTCAGTTATTTCACACTTTTTTCATAAGTACAAATTCTACATGTTCATTCACAGTTTTGAAGCCTTCAGTGATAATCTACAATGTAAATAGTCATATAAAAAATTAAAGAAAAGACATTGAATGAGAAGGTGTGTCCAAACTTTTGGCCTGTACTGTAATTATATATATATATATATATATATATATATCCACACACACACACACACACACACACACACACACACACACAGTTGAAACCAGAAGTTTACAGACATACACAAGTCTGGTGACAGAGTTCAGTTTAGAGCAGACCTGGGCATTTTACGGCCCGAGGGCCACATGCGGCCCTTTGGATGTCCCTGCCCAGCCCTTCGTGAGGTCGGTCAATCAAATCAACATGCTATAAAGTGTTTCGCTTTTAATTTGAAAAGCTAGCCGTTGTTTTATTTCCATTTGGACGCACGTGCGTACATCCTAGATCTGCATTTGTGTACAGAGACAAGTTTAAACATCAGCAAAATATACGTAGACGCCTTAGTTGCCAAGTCTCCTTATTATAAAAGACTTTAGGCTTGTTTCTCTCGGAAATCACTTGTAAAACCCGTGAGTCTTGTGTGTGCTATTTTGGGCTTGTTTTTCTGTATGTGTGAACCCCCCTGATTTGAAGTTGAAGTTATTGTTGTTTCGGCCCTCCAGCTTCAACACAGTCAAGGTTTCTCATGTGGCCCCATGTAAAAATTAATTGCCCACCCTTGGTTTAGAGAGACAGAGGATTGTTTTTTTTTTAATTGCATTGTAATATGGGAGAATACAAATACGGGAAGACAGGAGGAAAGAGGGCTAAAATACGGTAGTTTCTCAGAGACTTGAAACTATGTGCTAACTAACCATTTGTCCTGCGTTACACCTACACGTATGACGTTTGCAAAAAAAGAAATTGCGCGAAAATCTGTGTATTTTCATCAAGTTATGACTGAATAAATGCACTGACAAATCACTGTGCCTGTCAAACAGATAGCATTGTTTGCATTGCTCAGTTTCAACCTGCATGTAAACTGTTGAACTATTAGCTCACACAGTCTCTCACAGAGTGGTATACCTCTTTCCATCCTTTCTCACCATCAGCCTCTCTTGAATGTCCTTTTTATACCCTGTCATGTAACTAACCTTTTGGAAATTCACCTCATTAGTCTGAGATGTTCCTCCAGCAGTTTATCTTAGCATTAAACAACTTTTTACCTGTTTGGTTGTTCCTCTGAAACATTTTTTTAGAAATCAAGTGTAAAACCAGTTGAGATTATAAATAAAAACCTTTTATATGTTTTTAGAGTCAGCATTTTAATTTGCTGTATTTGCAACCTTGTCAAGTGAGTATTAAATTATTTGAAAAACACCTAACTTTGTTTTGGACTAACTTAGCGGGATTAATGTTGTTCACTACAATGACAATAATTATCACTAACTTGTGTCCATTGCACCAGCTAAACAGTGTTCCATCTCTGCTGAAGGTCAAACACCTGCTGGGACGAGAGTCTCTGACACGCAGGCACGCACGCAGGTGTGCACACACACACACACACACACACACACACACACACACACACACACACACACACACACACACAGAGGAACATTTTTATTGCTCTATCAAGACAGAAATGTGCAGTAATGATGTTACAGGTGTGATGTAGTTACCTCTTGAAGGCTAAGTGCGGCTCACACCTGGGAGGACCACAGAGCAGAGATGTCCCATCTGACCCACGCACTGCAACACACACATACACATACACGCACACACGCACGCGCGCGCGCACGCACACACACGCACACACACACACACACACACACACACACACACACACACACACACACACACACAGAAACAGTTATTGTAGCTGTACAGGTGTGGTCAGGATGGTGTGGTGGTCAGTACATGTAGACTCCCAGAATAATAAAGTTTTAACATTTTTCATGTTTTTAAAACATCATCAGCCTTTTCTGTATGTGTTTCCTGTTCTAAGGCTCATCCCTTTAATCAATAACTGTTCTTAAATAGTTTTTAATAATTAAAGTAGATCTGAGCTGAGGTAACATTAGATGAAAGGTGAACATTAAACTATAGCTACATGATTTTGTTCATATGACTCATTACCTGAAAACAAAAACAGACTGAAACACAGAGGACCAAACCTGTAACAGAAATCCGTCTTTAAAGTTCCAGTGAGGAACTTTCCGTCTGTGTCATTTTTTTTGGTACCCCTCTACATACTAAATAAATTCATCCTACTGACTTTTGACTGTCTAATAATATTATCTTATATTAATATTAACTTACAATGTAGTGTGAATGTTTCATATGAAATTGTTAAAAAAAATGGTTTCAGGGATTTGACATTGCAAACAAAAATGGTCACACTTATCTCTGATAGACTTGTCATCATCATAAAAAGGCATTGGTATGTAATTCAGTCTATATTAACAATGTAAAAAAAACTTCTCACTGGAGCTTTAAGTCTTCAATAAACAGCCTTTCACTGCACCTGTCTCCCCTTTTCACCTGACAAACACCTGAACAAACCAACATTAAACCGGAAGGGTGTAACAAAGTGTGACTGTGGGGCACACCTGGCTAACACCGAGGGCAAATTTGATTCAAATGTAAAGTCCAAACCTTTAGAAAATCTTTCACTTCAATTTACAGATGACCACCAACTGCTCCGTCTGTCTTATTAAATCACGCTGAACACATTACCTGGTCTGACACGTGATACCTTTAAACCCGTCTCTCATTAATCTGTAAGATAGTAGATTTATCTTAGTTGTTTTTGTGTTATTTTTTTGAGTTAATCAGCTGACATTCGGTTTCCCTCTCGGAGACTGACGGTGAGCAGACAGGTGTAATGATGATACATCTGAACAGATTTCACTCTGTGGCTTCTATCCATGACGAATAAACACCCACGTTTCTCTCTCTCAGTGAGGCTGACATATTTCGGTGACAGGCTATAACTTATACTTGAGAATGGTCAACTATTAAAACACAGCAGAAAGACGCGGGGTTGGGTGTGGTGTTCATTAAGCTAAAAAATCAGAGCTTCTTTGTGTCGCTGTTTTAGACTTTCAGTCGTCAGGCGCAGCATGTCGGTGTTCGTGTTTTCAGCTAAGAACAGCGTCTAATAAATATAATTTTACCTGCCAACAGCGGGATGGGGGGCGCCATGTTTAAGTGCCGGAAAATGACAGGCTGTTTCCCGGAAATGCGTAAAGGCAGCAGGAGGCGGGGGTCTCAGTGCCACATCAGCAAACAGTCAGCCCGTTGATAAACACGTCTTTAAATTTGTCAAGATTAGGGTGAAATTAACCTCTCCAGAATTAGTAATAACTACAGTTAAAGAATTTGGAGCAATCATCTCGAATAGAACACAAAACTTTATTGTTTACAATTATTTAGATTTTGCTGCCGTCTATAGCTTCGTAAAGTTGTCGGAAAATAACTGAAAGAGGAAAAGTTTCCGCTTTCAAAATAAATATGCAATGTCTGCCGACAAAACTATCAAGAGGAACAACATAACATCCCAATCAGGCAGGGTGGCCTTTCAGTACATTAATATCTAGAAGATTCCCTCTGGGAAATTTTGAAATAGCCACGGGGGTTACTGCCGGGATGTGTACATTATGGTAAGATTCTTAAGAGATTTCCAACAAGTAATACTAGTCACACTGTAATATTATATACAAACTATCTTTTTAGTCACCTTTACAAAAAAAAAAAAAAAAACAGAGCTGGTGCTGTAGACGTTTAAAAAAAACTCAAATTATTGCTCCTTTTTCTGGCTTGTCTCATTTAAGTTTTTTGTAACTTATGTCGCAAAAAAGGAAGGAAAGAGGAAGAAGAAAGTAACAGCACACCAATCCTGAGCAAACCACACGTTTTGAGATATAATTTGTTCCACAACTCTAAGCAGAAGGACTAATAGCAATCAAAATTTGTCTGCTAAAGGAATAAGAAAAAAAAACACACTATTACAATAGTTCCTCGGGGGTTGCACCCCAGGGTACTGGACCCTTATATTTTTTTGGAGGGGCAGTGCCTTGATGTTTTTGTTATTGGGCACCACAATACAAAGGGAACAGGGCAGTAGGTAAACATTTATGTAACAACATCTGATTAACATTAATACAAAATCTCAACAAGGGGATTTTAAAACGGATATGTTATGCAAAGGAAAAACATATTTTTAGTTCAAATCTTAACCAAGCATACATCACTTTCAATGAGCAAAGGGGAAACGATTTTCATGCACAGATTAAACAGAATTCAAGAAGTTAGTAGAGAGACATAGAGACAGTCACATTGTCCACATCGACATTCTTTATCTGGTGTTTTACCAAACTACAGCGCGATATTTGTTTTAACTTGAAGAGGTAAACAGGACCTTGTTTTTTTGGACATTTAGTGACTTTACGTGGGTAGCTGCAGTGAGTGACGCAGCCCGGGGGCGGAACATAATCATTTTGAGTACGTAGACAGATTGTAGATCTTCCAGTCCGTCAGCGCTGCAGATTCATCACAGAGTCAGAGAAGAGGGAAGAGTTCCAAATAAAGCTTATTTCATTTGAACCAAAGAAAGAAAAGAAGAAAAAATGGTGGCCAAACAGCGGATCCGCATGGCGAACGAGAAACACAGCAAGAACATCACACAGCGAGGAAACGTGGCCAAGTCAACAGTGAGTTTAACAACGACTCTGTTCCTTTTTCTTATTGGGAAAAACTGATGAATAAATACCGAAAATACAGCAGCATAGACGCGCTCTGGACCGGAGCTAAGAGCCCGGCTTCTATCAGGACCTCTGTTCGGGTCTAGACCCAAGAAGAAAGCAGGTCCAGACCCAGAGAGGGTCCGCTGAGTTACCGTCTGCTGCATTTTAACCCCAGATTAGAACCACTATAAAGTATGATTAACACGGATTTCAGATAAAATAATCAATGATAAATCAGAGCCGTAATTCTAAGTAATTTTTTTTGTTCAAATGGTGACAAAAACAGCTTTGAGAGAGTCAGGACCAGGAATTATACCGTACGCACTCACTAACGTTAAACTACAGAGACTTCAGAGAGATGCATTCAAATGAACTGGGTGGAAAAATATTAATTAAAAAGGGTTCACAGAGACTTTATGAACTCATTTTGTTAAAAAAAATAAAAGTTTCCTAGAGCATTCTCAATTAATCAAAAGATAAAGTAAAAACACCTTCACCACCTTTAAAGGGACATTCCGGCGTTAAATTAAGGTAGGGTCAAACACACCGTAACACCGAGTTAGATACCCCGTCGAGAGATGAATGTTGCCGACCGCTTTCGTCTCTAGTTATGCCAACTTTAGTAATGACTGCAGCAATAGCAATACACAGTGGTCTACCTCAACCAAAAAGCCAACCTATAGCCACAAATAATGCTCAGAACAGAACCTAATTTCATCAACAGCGCATATGGGCTCCCAACCATAGCACTAGCCACCAAACATCTTTTTAGCTTTGCCTAATTTCTTAAGCAAAGAGACTTGACACAACTCACCCTCTCTCCTTCAGCAGCTGCTTGTTTGTGGGGGAGCCCTGACAAGTCGATCACCGAGTGCAATTGAGTTTTGCAGCTCAAGGAAAAACATTTATGATAATTTCCCTATGGAAATGCAATCAGACCGAGACGCTTAGGCAGAAGAACTACCGTGCCTGCAGTGCAAAATGATTAATATGATGATTATTACTTCAAGGAAATCATCCGCTGCACTCAGTGATCAACTCGGCAGGGCTCTCCCCACAAACAAGCGGCTACTGGAGGAGAGAGGGGAAGTTGTCTTTAGTCTCTTTGCTAAAGAAATCAGACAAAGCTAAAAAGATGTTGGGTGGCTAGTGCTATGGCTGGGAGCCTATACGCACTGTTGATGTTGTTGATGCACTGTTGATGTGTTGTTCTGAGCATTATTTGTGGCTATTGAGTGGCTTTGTGGTTGAGGTTTGCACATGGAGGCAAAGACTGCTGTGTATTGCTATCCTGCGGTCATTACTAAAGTTGGTATAACTAGAGAAGCAAGCAGTGGCCAACATTCATCTTCGAGGGGGTGTCTAACTCGGTGTTACTGTGACCTTGACCCTAACTTAAATTTACGCTGGAATATCCTCCTTAGTTAGAAAATTAAACTTTCTAAAGCCATCCTCAATTAATCAAAAGAAAACAATAAAAACATTTTCTCCTCCTTTGGTTAAAAAATAAACTTTGTTAAGACATCCTCATTGATATAACAAAGTTAAAATAAAAACACATTCACCTGCTTAAGTACAAAAATTAAACTTTTTGAAAAGGCATCCTCAGTTATTCAAAAGATTTAAATAAAACATTTTCACCTCCTTTAGTTCAAAAATAAAACTATGTAAGGACACTCTTTTTTAAATAAAAGGATTTAAATAATAATAATAATAAAAACTCACCTCCTTTACGTTAGAAATTTAAACTCAAAGATGGAAAGAGCTGACCCAAGCAGAGACTAGCTGATATTAAATTTATTCATTAACTTACCCAGAGATAAACAGCTCAGGTAAATCTGACAGATTTTTAGTGAAGACAGACACACACATGCACAGACAAAGAGTGATATAGAGACACACAGACACATTCTGTTTATCAGACTAAGAGTTTTATTATAAACACATTTATTGAATCTATCTCTCTCTCTCACTCTGTGTGTGTGTGTGTGCGTGTGTTTCAGAGGAACCTAGGGGACGACAAAGGTGTGGGTCCGTGGCTGCTCGCTCTCTTTGTTTTTGTCGTCTGTGGATCAGGTGAGTTACTCTTCTTCCAACAAACACACTGTAGTCAATTTTTTTGTTTGTTTGTTAAAGTCACAGATAAACTTTTTCTCAGAGTGTCCCTTTCATTGCTGTGTCCCTGACAGAGATACAGTCTGAAAAACAAACAATCAAACAAATCACACCCCTCCGAAATGAGTTAAGAAATCCTAAGGTTGGTTTAACTGTTTAAAAAGCTTTCAGAGCAGTTTTTCAAAATCAAAGAGACTAAGCCGATTATCGTTGTCTATAAAGTTACAGAGAAACTTTATCAGACCAGAACGAACAAACAGCTAATGAGAGCCTCTGCAAGGAGCAACTGAGATTATTACATCACCTGAGGGACTAAAACCCAGCCCAGAGACGGAAGTGTGGGGCTAAGTGCCCAATCACATGAAGGGGTGGGGCTAAGTGTCCAAACAGACAAATGGACAGGGCCCAGTGTCTGGTCTAGATGTCAGTGTGTGCTCCTGTGTCACTGTGACTGCAGACAGAAAGTCAACAAGTCAAACACCTTAGGCATCCTCTGTGTGTGGGCGGGATTTATCTGAGCATGCCCAGGGGTGTCAAAGATCAGTCAGTGTACTGAGGTCTCACTCAGAGAGAAATCTGACAGAGCATCAAACAGACCTGAGATCAGCTAAGACACTAACACACAGTTAAAAGGGAGAGTCTGTAAAATCTTTCTCTTCACTCTGAGTTTCAGTGAGTCTGTGTGATCGATCTGTGTTAAACTGCATCATCAGAATAAAAAGCATTTCTTACTGTTTACAAATAAACCTCCATTGTCATGTAAACAATTCTAGTCATAACTCTGTGTGTGTGTTTGTGTGTGTGTGTCTGCAGCCATCTTCCAGATCATCCAGAGCATCAGGATGGGCATGTAAAATGATGTCACTAGCAAAGGGCGGGGCTACAAAAGCAGCAGCTCCAGTGGTGGTGAGGATGGCCTCGCCCACTCCACCTTTGAACTGAAGTAATCCCAAACATTCCTGAGCTGAGGCAGCTGTCTGTCTGCACACAAAACATGACCCCCCCCCCCCCCACACACACACACACACACACACACACACACAATGTTCCACAAAGTTATCATGTCGATTCACGTGTCCTGCTCGCCAACCTTCTCAGTGTCTTTTTGTAAACATCCACAGTGTGCCTTTCTCTGTTTACCTGTGCTTAAGCCATGCCCCCACTGATTACACTTTATCAGAAAAGGGGTCAGAGTCCAGCTCCTGTAACTGAACCTGTGTCAACACCTCCTCTTCCTCAGTGTGATGATGATAACAGTGATGATGATGAAGATGACGATGATGATGATGAAGGTCTTTTGAATCAGAAGGTCAGGAGGTGCTGGCAGGTGTGTGTGTGTGAGTGCACTGTGTGCAGCTTCACCTGGACAGGGTTAATAAAGTCTCATTTTGAAGATGGCTGCTGTGTCTTTGTGTGTACGTGCGCATGTGCATTCTCTGCAGCTCATGATATTTTAGGAGAAACAGTTGAACTGTCAGTTAAGAATGTTTGGAAACACAGTGATTGGCCAGCAGAGCTAAACAAGTTCTATCAGGTGACCTGTGAGACTTAAGTACAAGTCTTTAAAGCTGGTAGTTATCTGTGGGAAGTGCTAATTAAATCAAATTTATGTCTCTTGTTTGAGTCTGTAAAGGTCTCAATGAGTCTGAGATTAGACTGAATGAGTGAATGAACAAGAGGAAGTCTCTGCTGAAGCTTCTGTTTGCTGCAAAGACAAAAATCAAACTGATGAGTTCTTTGTTCAGGGCTGCTGCAGTGACTATGTGTCCACTGGATGGAGCTGTTTGAGCAGAAACACCAGACGGTGTTGTCATTAAATAAAGGTAAAGGAGAGCTTACCAAATCTCTCCTATTGTCAACAACTCGGCGTATCCCCGATGCATCACTGCAGTCACATCAGTCCAGGGGGGTATTCCAGAAAGCGGGTTATGTGAAAAACTCTGAGTAAGTTAACCCTGAGATGAGGGAAACTCTGAGTTATCCGTTCCAGAAAGAGAGGTAACTTAAACACTGGGTCAGTTACTGCGGTAACTTACTCTGTGAACATAACCTGCTCGCTGACAGGTTTACTACAAGAGACCCAGAGTTTCTACATGTCTCCTCCCACACAAAGAAAGCGGTTGAACATGGATTGTCCATTCCTTGAAAATCCGATCGACATCGAAGCCAGAATAATGCGCAACGGTTTACGTCGCGAGAGAATCTTCCGACCCAGATTAGACGTTTTATCATTTCCAGAAGAATTTATTTTCGAACGCTACCGCTTTTCTTTGAACTGTATAATTTATCTAAATAACCTTCTCCGGCCGTGTATTCAGTGTACATGTCAAACTCCAAATTCCACTTTAGAATGTAAATGAATGGGCACTGCCAGTAGCTATATATTAAGACACACTTCAGGATGCCCCTCTGGATCTCTCCCTGTGGCAGCAGACAGTGTTTCTTCATCCTCCTCCTCCCCCTCCTGTAATGCAGGAAAATATACTGTTTCAGAATACTTTGAACTACCATCTGAGGAATCTGAGTATGAAAGACTTACAGCTACAGGGTTTGTTTCTGTCGGAGGCTGAAGCAGGCAGATGACACCATCCACAACTGTTGGGTGGGTGGATATATATTTGTTAAAAAGTAGGCTATATATATTTGTATATTAGTTTTATTTTTTTTAAAGACATAAGTGTATACTTGCATCTGATGTAGGGACTTGTGTCCTGGGGGGTGACAGGCTCGGATGAGCTTCCCCCGGGGATGCCTTCAGCCACAGAGCGACCCCTGTTTTGGCTGAGGGCCAGCTCCTCAGCCTCCGTCAGATGTAGTGGAGGTGGCCCTCCACCCGTTTTTCGGGCCTCTGCCTTCTTTCTGTTGGCTGAGCAGAAGTCAATGTTTATTTTAAAATAGTATTTTAATCAGTGTTGGTGTAGGCTACAGCGTCACATTTTAAATGACTTCAATAGGTCTAAAATATAAATGCGTTTGTATCAAGTGTTAATCCACGAAGTGTAGAATTAAGTGAGAGGACGTTGAAAAACTACATTTTGTTTGGGGTTTAAATGATTATTTGAAGTAGCCGCTGAATTAATATTTTAGTTTAAATTAATATTGACTTTGTCTAATAGCCTAAGTCCATTTAAAATAATTAAATTAAAACCAAAGTGAGGTGCAATCACAGCCTAGCAAAATATGCCTTACCTTTTTGAATTATGTTTTTATGTTTCATTTTGAGCTGCTGCCAAGTTCTTTTTTCTCCCGTTGGATTGCACCTAAATGAAAATCAGATTTAATTCCTACTTATATTCATAACTATAGACTATGCTTCGATCTTATATGTTACGTCAGTGGAATAGTACATTCAAACTTAGGCATTGACTCGCGCAGCAATTTTCTCCCATGCCGTCTCTCTCTCCTTCGCTGCTGCAGCCGTGTTGGATTTGCAGCGAAAAATGTTCTCATACTCGCCGTAGGCCAGCATAAGGACCTCCAACTCCACCGGGGTGAAATAAATTGACCGTTTTTGCTCTGTTGTCATGGTGACTCGTGGTATCGGGGCTCCATTGATGATGGCTTTTTATAATGGTTGTGCACGCGCGTAACTCCAGGTTATCATACTCAGAGTTGATTGAACTAATTCAGATCAGCTTTTCTGGAACCGGATACTCAGAGTCTCCCATCTCAGAGTAAGTCAACTCAGAGTTCAGGGATAGACTCAGAGTATGTTGAACCTGCTTTCTGGAATACCCCCCAGGTGTCAGCTGAGAGACAACATACCTGGAGAATATCCTCCAATCTCTGGGGTCCTGTCACTACACAAAACTGCCCCAACTGCCTTTCTGTTTGTCTTTTTAGTTTTTGTTGACCTGTATGATGAACGTTTAAAGTGAGAGCTGCAGTAAGGGCCTAAATACAGTTTCTTTGTGGTAGTTTAGGTACTATAGGGGTGGTACTGAGTGAGCAGAACATTTGAATAGTTTGGTTCTTATTTTTCAGAAGTCTTGCAGACATCAGACTCTCTAATCTTAAGACTGTCTTCTGCATTAATAGGGCATTTGTTTGTTTCCAAAATTGTGCCCCCTAGAAATAAAAAAGGGCATTTTTTTTTCTTTTGATGTGTAGCCCCTGCTGACTTTGTGAGTTTTTGAGGTGCATAGGACCGTCTAACTAAAAACTTTTTGTAGTTGATGGCCAATTGTATTTCGTATCACCTCGCCGAGGGGCCGCAAAGTAGGATGTGTCTCTGCAAGCATATATCTGGCCATAACTCTGCCTTTCATGGTCCCAGTTACACCAGATTTTAATAATTTAATAACAGTCTGGCCCCAAATTGTGTGACACCAAAAGTGCATCTATATGTCGAAGCACCACCTGGTGGTAAAAAGGAATGCATGTTTTTTTTTCTGTTCAGGGCCTGTTATTCCTTCCTTATGCAATGAAGCTAAAATTAGTTCAGGACACACCTGACACATTGTACATGTACAGACACATGAAGTTTGGTACACAGAACCGGAGGGGCATCCTCTTGATGGTTCCAATGTCAAAATGGAGATACAACCAAAATTGCAAACTGAGGTACAACTTTTTCTAAGAGGCTTACTTGGGGAACAGCGCCCCCTCAAACACAAATGGGGCTTTTTGCCTACAAATGGCTGGCTCCAAAGCAAACCATTTACAGTTTGGATTTTATTTCTCTTTCAGTCTACAGTAGTACGGAGCCCCTAAAGGGACATGGATGGACTTTTTTTTTTTGCGAGATCTCGCAAAAGTATTGCGAGATCTCGCAATACTTTTTGCGAGATCTCGCAAAACGTATTGCGGGATCTCGCAATACTTTTTGCGAGATCTCGCAAAAGTTTTTTCTCCATTCAGTGAACCGGAAGTAAAACACGCCTAAAATAGCCTAAAATAATAATAATAATAAGAAGAAGAAGGCGCAACAGAGCACGGATGATGTGTACCATAGACATAATAAAAGATAGACCCCGCATCGGCCGCTACCACGAATGGGCGCTGTCGAGAAATGCGGCCGCCATCTTGGTCCGGTCATCTGCCTCACTCTGCACCACTGTCTTCCTCTTTGGCCTACAAATGACTCTACAGTCAAGTGTAATGTTGAAAAAACGTTTAATCATAACTGTGAAAAGTTATTCCTTGAGCCCTGTTCTCTGCTGTCCGCCTGTTGGCACAGGAATACGCCGCACAGTGCTCCGGCATCGCTGAATGAATGAATGAATGAATATGATTGACCGGAGCGTATGGGAAGCTTGACCTGACCAAGATGGCGGCCGCATTTCTCGCTGCGCAGCACCCCCAGCGGGGTCTACCCTTTTATTATGTCTATGATGTGTACGCTCCTCCATCATGTGTGTCTGTTTTACTTCCGGTTCACCGAAGTAGGACAGAACTTTGCGAGATCTCGCAATACTTATTGCGAGCGCTCGCAATACTTTTGCGAGATCTCGCAATACTTATTGCGAGCTCTCGCAATACTTTTGCGAGATCTCGCAAAAAAAAAAAGTCCATCCATGTCCCTTTAGGGGCTCCGTAACAGTAGAGACCCTGAAGAAGACCATACCAAGAAATCATGTGTGTAGGTGAAAAGGCGTGGCCATGGTGCTCTTTTAAACTTTGATGTTTTCCCACTGTAAATAAGTCACAACACTCAAAGGCACTAACAAGTACCAGCCATCACAAAGGGCACCTGCTGCTGTGGACAGGTTGTACCAGGGGAGGAGGGAGGGTTGTTAAGGGCTAGTCTTCTTCTTTCACTGCTGATCAATAATTTTGCATCAAATATAGATTTTTATTTGGTCTTCATTTATTTCTAACCAATATGACTTAAAGGTATAATCCGGCGTAAAATTAAGTTAGGGCCAAACACACCACAACACCGAGTTAGACTCCCTGTCAAAAGATGAATGTTGCCAACCACTTGCTTCTCTAGTAATACCAACTTTAGTAATGACCACACATTAGCAAAACCATAGACTTTATATACTATGGACAGCTTGGTTCCGCCTCCCACCTGTATATGGATTTGAAGCCCAAAAGCTCTCGGTATTCCGCGATTTTTCTTCATTTCCTGATACCAAAGTTTCACAATAGCATTGTATGCATGTGGTGAGAGAGTCACTGAAGGTCGCTGTGATGATGCTCGGCTCAAACAGCATATCCCCCGGATAAGCTACGCAATCCTTGAACGCCAATAGGCATTATCAGGTGTCAATCATAGCAAACATGATCTCCCTAATAACTTTTAAAAACGGAGCTGCACAGAAAAAAGAGGACTTGAGCACAAACCAGTCTTACTGTAACTACATGTCAACACCACAAGCAGGGGGGAGAAAAACTTTTGTTCTGTGCCCCCTAGAAATAAAAAAGGGCTTTTTTTTTTTCTTTTGATGTGTAGCCCCTGCTGACTTTGTAGCTGGGCAGATAAGTTTAATAATCGTTCACTTGCGGATAAAAGCACCAAAATTGGCACACATACTCCTTAGGAGTTGCTCTTTTGATATTTCCGTCTGGCCAAATGAAAATTTAAGATGGCGGCCATTTTTCAAGATGGCCACCATTGAAAATACAGTAATATCGCATTTTGCAATAAAATCCCATAGACTTGTCCTATTTGGATGATCTTGGTGTCAAATCATACATTTTCCACTATGCAGAATACAAATTTGGACCCATGGACTTACTTACTGGCTTCCTTGCACCATATTTCAGTCCTGGAATCCTAATATTCTGATCCTAATTAGGTCTGAATCACGTGAGACTTGAGTAAAATGGTTGGTAGCCTATATCTTAGTGTTGTTAGAGGTCTATTGTGTGTGTGTGTGTGTGTGTGTGTGTGTGTGGGGGGGGGGGGGGGGGGAGGGCAAGGGCGTGGGCAAGGGTGTGTCCTCACTGCACATATCAGTCCCAGAATCCTAATATTCTGATAAATTAGAATTTCACCTAAAATGCATGGTAGCACCATGGGATCACTCTTTGTCTGGTCTCTATCCTTCGAGCTGTTTGGCGTGGGTGACCCTGCCAGGAGTACAATACTCCAGCCGGCATAGCTCTAGGGGTCATGGAGACACACAAACTGCCCCACCACGATAAGGTGGTGATCCCACCGAGGCAGGTTGTTTTTTTTTTGTTTTTTTTTCTTTGTTTTACAAGTAGGCTGTTTGGATGAGTAGGGTTTTACTACAGCGTTTCTAAACCTCACACTAGCAGCTGCACAGTGCTGTGCAGGTCAGACCAAAGCAGTAGCATTTGCATCGACCGCAGCATTCCAACTTGCATCCACACTTGGCCAGCTGCTGGCAACTCTCTGCAATGGGTGGGAGCTCTGTCCAAACAATCTGCCACAGATCTCCTTTCTTGGTCCAGCCCCAGTTGGCAGGACTATGTGTTTCTGGTTGACATACTATTGACTGACTCCAGATGCAGCCTGCTTGGTAGGATGCACGCATGACATATTGCTTAACTGCTGATTGAGTTGGAGGAGTGGCTTCATACGGCCTCTGCTTCCGAGCAAACATGTCCAACCTTGCATCGTCGACACCTTCAGCTGTGCAGGATCTGTCGTACAACATGACCACAAACTTCTCTAGGGTTTTCAGGTCTTCATCATCCAATACAGGTGGGTAATGGCTGAGTTTGCTGAAGACACTGGAAGCCTCATCACAAACATTCCAGGTTTGCCAAGCAGACTTCTTCCCTTTGCCACGGAATGCTGAAACAACATCGCAACCAGTGAATGCATGGAAGAAGAGCATCCCTTTGCTCTTTTCTGCAAGAGTGCCACACAGGTCATGAACAGGAATCCACTTCAGGTTCTGTCTTTGGCCAAAGGCAACCCACAACTGCTGCAGACCGAGGTTCTGAAGTGCCTGCAGAACACTCACTGTGATGACAACAACATCTGTGTCGTTGGCTTTGACCATGATGACCTTGCTGCCTGCTTCTGTGGCATGCCTGGCATGCACAAAGATCTGGGTGTCAGCTTCTTCATGACTGCATGGTGCCACCCCAGCCAGATTAATAGTAATGTTGTAAGAAAGTGTATGTGCGAGTGAGAAGTGTTGCCTAATAATTAAGTGAGATGTAATGCAGGCAGGTCAAGCATTTTTCTTTTTTGGATTTTTTTTACACTCAGACACATTTTTTTCAGTCTCTCTCTCTCTCTCTCACACACACACATACACACACACACACACACACACACACACACACACACACACACACACACACACACACACACACACACACACACACACATACTAAATCTCTAACAACACTAAGATATATGTTACCAACCATTTTACCCAAGTCGGACATAATGTAAACCTCATAAATACCAGAATATTAGGATTATGGGACTGAAATATGGTACAAGGAAGCCAGTTAGTAAGTCCATGCCCCCCCCCCCCCCCACACACACACACACACACACACACACACATAGACCTCTAACAACACTAAGATATAGGCTACCAACCATTTTACTCAAGTCTCACATGATTCAGACCTAATTAGGATCAGAATATTAGGATTCCAGGACTGAAATATGGTGCAAGGAAGCCAGTAAGTAAGTCCATGGGTCCAAATTTGGATTCTGCATAGTGGAAAATGTATGATTTGACACCAAGATCATCCAAATAGGACAAGTCTATGGGATTTTATTGCAAAATGCAATATTACTGTATTTTCAATGGTGGCCATCTTGAAAAATGGCCGCCATCTTAAATTTTCATTTGGCCAGACGGAAATATCAAAAGAGCAACTCCTAAGGAGTATGTGTGCCAATTTTGGTGCTTTTATCCGCAAGTGAACGATTCTCCTGTAATATGCTATTATCCGCCCCGCAACAAGGACAGTGCGAATAGCAATTTTTAATGTGAGATCTCTTTTAAACAAAGTATTTCTTATTAATGACTTGATTATAGATATCAATATCGGCTGCATGCTTTTAACTGAGACCTGGTTAAGCAGTGATGGACCTGCAACCCTGCTAGAGGCCTCACCACCAAACAATAAATTTTTACACTCTTTTAGGAAAGGCAAAAGGGGTGGGGGTACTGCAGCAATTCTTTCAGCGTCCTACTGTTTCAAGGACAATTTTTTTGGAGATTTTAATTCTTTTGGATATCATTCCTTTACTTTTAGCAGTCCTCCAACATTGTGTAACAGTCTAAATGCTACCTAGAAGATTTTTCCCTTTTCTCCGAATTTTCAGAATTACTTCCCATCATCCTCGCTAAATACAATCGTGTTATTATTTGAGGTGATTTTAACATTTATGTAGACAATCAATCAGACTCTTTGACTGCCGAATTTTTACATTTGTTTAATAGTATGAATTATATTCAACATATCACTCAGCCCACTCACAACAAAGGCCACATTTTCGATCCTGTTTGAACATATGGCCTGTTAGCAAACATCACCCCAGTTGTTGATGTGGGCTTGTCTGATCATTTTTGTGTCTTTTTACTGTGAATGATTTTAACCAACAGGAAATGACTCAGTGAACTGTTAGGAAATGCTATCTTACCCCTGTGGTGGCTGCAAATTTTATTGATATTTTCAAAGGAACTCCTCCTGACATTTTACCTTCCACCTGTAATTTTATTGTGGACAGTTTTAACGGCAAACTTAAGTCCACGCTTGACAAAATTGCACCTTTAAAAGTAAAACCGATAATAACAAATCTAACTCCACCCAGGAGAAATGAAGAAACCATACAACTGTAGAAAGGCAGAAAGAAAATGGCAAAAAAAGAGAATAAACTACCACATTTTCCAAGAACAATTATATATTTTTCATAGGGCAATCAAATAATCATTTTTCAAAATTAATAATTGAAAATCCAAACAATCTAAAATTTCTCTTTTCAACTATTGACCGAATACTGAATCCCAGTTTTAATCTACCCTCTGATTTGTGCACTAGCTCATCATGTGAGGATTTTGCAGTCCACTTCAGTAGTAAGATAGATTTTATCAGATCAAATTTCTCTCACACTCAGCTGAAAGCTATTAACACTGTAAATTCAGTGTTTTTAGATGAGGAAACACAGGAGAAGTTTGTCCTGGTTGATGCCGAAATCGGACACTTTTCAACCTCTACATGTTGCTTCTGGGAAATGTCATTAGGACACAGCATTAACTTACACAGCTATACAGATGACACACAGCTCTATATTGTAGTGTCTCCTGACAACCCAGGACAGATTAATACCCTTTTTAACTGTATCTAAGATATTAAGTCATGGATGGCAGACAACTTTTTACAGCTCAACAATGCAGGTTACAGTCATTGGTACCGGAGCTCAGAATGAGGGACTGGAAGCAAAACTCCAAACACTGTCTTTTCATTAGTGTAACCAAGTAAAGAGTCTAGGTATGATATTTGACCAAAATCTTAATTTTGAGACACACATAAGAGACGTTATACAGAAAGCTTTTTATCACCAGAAAAAAATTGCTAGAGTGCAACAGTTTTCTCTCAAGCCAATGCAGAGACTCTAGTTTATGCTTTTACTACTTGCAGAATTGATGACTGTAATGCTCTTCTTTCTGGTCTTCCCAAAAAGAACATCTCTCAACTTATGCTTTTTCAAAACTTAACTGCTAGGATGCTGACGAAGACAAGAAAGAGAGCTCACTTTACACCAATTTTAAAGTCTCTGCATTGGCTTCCAGAATCTTTTAGAACTTATTTTAAGGTTCTCTTACTGTTTTTTTTAGAGCTCTTAATGGTCTAACACCAATTTTTTTTTTACTACATATGCTTCTACCATACAAGCCTGTTAGAGCCCTCAGGTCTTCAGGTGGTGGTCTTTTAACAGTGCCAAAAGTCAGACCCAGAGACCCACGGTTTTATTATCACGGCCACGTCTGTGGAACACCTAACCTGAAGACCTGAGGACAGCACAGAGTCTCCATGTTTTTAAGTAAGTAAATTTAAGACCTACCTTTTCAGTTAAACTTTTAGCTGAGCTTACTGTTTATTTATTCATATATTTATTCAAGTTTTAATATTTTAAATTAATTTTTGTCCTACTCTCATTCTGTTTTATTACTTTTTCTGACATTTTTTTATTCTCTCATCTAGTGTTGTCTGGTGTTCTTTTAGGTTTTAGTGTTTTATCATTCTATTTATTATTTCATTTCTTTATCTATTTTCCTCATTATGATCTCATGATAGCGTGTCCTAACTTTCTCAGGTCATTGTGTGCTGTTTAAATTTTATTTAAAAATTTATTTGTACAATGTGTATATGTACATATACATGTATGTGTGTGTTTGTATATGTGTGCATGTATGTATGTGTGTGTGAATGTATGAATATATTTATCATTTTTCAATGTATGTCTTATTTTACTTGTCTGCTCATCTTAACACTTGAATGATTCATTTTTCTTTTTTTTATGATTTTAATGATTTTCTGTAAAGCACTTCTAAATCACAATGTATGAAAAGTGCTATACAAATAAAGTCTGAATGTTTGATTGATTGACATGTCTTTCTATAAACATATCTGTCCATGCACGTTTGTCCACATCTGTCCATACATATTTGTTTATAAACATGTCTGTCCACACACGTCTGTCCACATCCACGTCTGTCAATACATATCTGTCTATAAACATGTCTGCCCACATCCATGTCTGTCTTCATGTTTGTCCTTGTCTTTGATTGTGTGAGTCTTTGATATGTTCTGTTCGACCTCAGGGCTTTTATCAGTTTGTACCCCATCATCCCTTATGGTTTTGTTTTTTATCCCTGGTGTCCTCCATCTTGTCTCCGTCCTTTCCTTTAGATGTGTTTTTTGTCCTCATCTCCATCCCCGCCTTAGTTTCCTCAGCTGTTGAACGGCTGCTCTGGTTTTAGGCGGATGGCCCAAGAGTTGGCTGACACAATGTCTCCCCGGCGGTGGATGCGGCAGGTGTACACGCCCTCATTGAACTCATTGGCAACAATGCGGAGGTCTCTGTCCTTCATAACAATGTACCCCGGGATGGAGGTGAGGATCTGCTCGTCATCTTTGAACCAGCTGGAAGGACAGACATTAAGTATGAGGCTTTTCTTCTTCTACTGCTGAGATTGAACAGACTAACAATCAGGATGGACATGAACTACAGCTTGCCAAACTTATACATGTGTTTAACTTGACAGACATTACCTGATGTTTGAGAAATGATCGATAAACCAGAAAAATACTTCATTAATAAACCACCTTCAAAACAACCAAGCAGCAACATGCATAATGTCAGGTCCACCAGTGTCCACCAAAGGCTGTGTCCAACAGTGAGTCAGTCCAAACAAACATGTTTACAGCTGAAATTTACATGTTTACAAACATGTTTACAGCAAAGACAAACATATCCACCAAAATGTTTACAGCTGAAATAAAAGTGTTTACAGGCTGTCACAACAACAGTTTGGGACTGTATCTGGGTTTTTATATTTTTACCCGCTTTTGTCCACTGTATAAACATGTTATCTGCCTATGTGTCCAGTCAAAAATGACCAAATAGCAAATCACCATATTTGCCTATTTACAAGATAGTTTTTACATAAAATAATTGCATCATATGTACATGTACAAATCAGGACCATCCACTAATGAGGTTTATGCCATTTTTCATCAAACACAGAAATGAAGTTGGCTTTCTGATGTTGTTTTGTTTTCACTCAAACGCTACACAACACTCCAAGTCAGGGGTGTCAAACTCAAATGCACAGTGGGCCAAAATTAAAAAAAGCTTGTCCAAGTGATGGGCTAGACTGGTTCAATGTTTCCTGAGAACTTGCAAATGACCTTGTTGCATGAACTGAACCTGAAATGAACAAAGCTTTCAAACCTTTAAAAAATCTGGTGTATTCACTCTTTATCTGGAGCTTTCCATAGTTATTTCTAATAAAACATTTCCCCACAGGCCAACAACGGGCAAAAAGATAATTCAGAGAAAAATTAAATGTCTGTAGCAGCAAGAAAAAAAGTGCAAAAATGAAGCATGCATTAAAGCTCAGCTTGCCACTCTGTGATGCACAGTAGTCGATACTTGAACCTGGAACTAACAAAGCTTATAAGTCAGTTTGTACCTAAAAACAACAACATTAAACATTAAATTGAAGAAAAAACATGTATTTTATTTCTAAAGCTCTTTCTGCAACTTTTCTGGATTAATTTTTAACTCTTTCTACTTTTTCTACAGGCCAACAAGATCCCAAATTTTTTTTACTTGTGAGAAAAACCAATATGTCCTGTAGCAGCCTTTTGCTGCCTTTTTTGCAGATCCAGATGTTACCTGTTTTGGTGTTTTGTTTCATAGTGTCTTCTTGAGTTATATTAGGGTGACCATATTCTGAATCCCCAAAAAGAGGACACTAAATTTTGAGGGTGTTTTAGGTTGGGCTTGAGCAGCGGCGTCGCCAGACAGTTTTCACTCGGGCACGTGCCCCAGTATTGATCTGCAGTGCCCGAGTGAAAATTTCACCAATAAAAAAAAAATACCTTCAGAGTTTTAAGTCTACATAGCATCGACTACAGCGCACATACTATTTAGTATGGTAATTCAGTGCTACTGTATTCACTCCACATAAACAATACGCACATGGCTAATTAACATGGTAATTTATTCACGTGTAGCGACTTCGGTTGATAATACTTCCATGTCAACTCGAAGTCGAGAGAGCGAGAGAGAGAGAGAGAGAGAGAGAGAGAGAGAGAGAGGAAGCCGATGAGAATCACTGAGTGAGGTAGGTAACGTTAGCCGACAACAACTTGTAAAATATATTATTTTGATATTGATTTGACTGGAACTGTAACTCCTAGATGGATATCAGAAAGTTATTCGCCCGCAGCAGGGATAAAGCAGCGAGGAATGAGAGAGGTAAGTGAAGTCCTAGCTAGCTAGGCAACATAAGTCTGTCTTAAATTAATGCTAAGTTAGCTAAAGTTATTCCTTGTATCAAGACAACCATATTAATTTGCTATACAGCTGTGGGGGGAATTTCCAGTGAGTTTCATCAGCATGAAACATAATGTTGGTTATGGTCTGCTGGTTCTGCTCAGGACCTCTGCATCAATGATGATTTTGAGTAAGCTTGTGATAGTTGACAGATATAGCCTATGGATGGTGCAGTGGTTCTCAAATGGCCTATCTTCAAGAAGAAAAACATTTTATATATATATATATTTTCATGTCTGTCCAAACAAAGTGGAACAACAGAGTGCTGGAAGAGGTGAGGGAGAGATGAAAGTTGATGAGCAAGAGCGGAGGTGAGTTGACTATCAATGAATAATGTCCCAATCATGTTTTTTTTTCTTTTTTGCCTCTGAGTCATTTGATTTTGAATATCGATGGCAGAAATACAAAACCTCCCATATGAGGAAAAACAAAAAACAATTTTTTGGAAAACAAATAACCTGCCAGTTTCTTACTGAATGCTTTTTGGTCAGGTGACTTTTTTGTCACAAGGAACTGGAAGGGTGGGATAACTTTGTAAACAGAGCAGCTTTCACTATTCTTATAATCCCATGTGAAAACTGAAGATCATATAAAATGCAGATAGGAGACTTTAAGCTATGTACATATTTGTACAGCAAAAAAATAATATTTTCATGTTGCTTCAAACTAAGGTGAGCGGAGTGCAGAGGCAGAGAGATGATAGTTATTTAGTGTAAACTACCCCACTTGCAGATTTGATAAATGTTAGTTGTAAAGGTTATCTGAGGCGACAGTTAATCATATTCAATTTTTTGTATGTTGGACCAGGCAGGAGAAGCAGAGTGTAGGAGAAATTGAGCTGGCTGAATCAGGGGAAAAAGAGAGAGAGGAGGAAGGGCAGCAAGAGACAGACAGCCAGGAGAGACCACACCCTAGAGATGAGACTGAGAAAGCAGTTGCCACAGTGGCAGAAAACATCAGACTGGGGGCAAGGCCGAAAAGCAGTGTCCACAATGTTGAGGGACATGTGATCTAGGGGGAAAGGATTCTGGCCTAAACCAAGTAAACTTGTCACAATATCCCCAGTCAAACTTTGGTGTAAAGAAGCGATCCTTTAATGCCAAGTAGTTTGAAAGCTTTATGTGGTTGGAATACTCCAAATCTAAAGATGCAGCCTTTTGTTTTTCTTTTAGGATTTTTGGCAAACAATTGAAGCATGACATCTTTGTAAACACTGGCCTACAGAACTGGAAAAATGCTCTGGATCTTTGTAGAGAGCATGAGAAATCACCTGCCCATAAGGCAAGCATGCTCTCCTGGCATGGCTATAAATGCAGTGCAGCTCACTGTAGTGTTGTTGAACAGTTAGTCTCAGCAAATGAGAAAGAAATCAAAGAGAGACGTGAGTACCTCAGCCGGGTGGTGGCTGTTACAAAGTTTTTGGGTAAACAAAACATTCCATTTCGTGGCCATGATGAGGTCATCTCCAGCGACAACCAAGGAAACTTTCTCGAGTGTATTAATCTCCTGAAAGAGTTTGATCCTTTTCTGCAGTCCTATTCAGCTCCATCACACTGTACATATCTATCACCTTCATCCCAAAATGAAGTCATTCAGTGCTGCACTCAAGAGATAGTTGCAACTATTGTTTATGAAATAAAAGACGCAGGAATGTTTTCAGTCATGGCAGATGAGGCTAGAGATGGCAGCACTGAGCAGCTAGCTGTATGTGTCCGTTATGTAGCTAAAGGGAGTGTAAAGGAGCATTTGCTGGCTATGCCGGAACTGAAAGGATTTGATGCAGAGTCTGTAACTGCTGCAACTGAAGAACAGCTAAGATTAAAAGGCATAGATCATGTGAGGGTGGTCGCGCAGGCTTACGATGGTCTTTTTTTCTCTTTCTTTTTTCTTTTTATTTTATTTCGAACATTATTTAATCAAATAAGACAATAAAATACAAATCAGGAAGAAAAGAAAACCAACAACAATGTCCGAAAAGGAGTAGGATGAAGTTTAAAACTTATCGAGCTCCTACCCCCCTTTTGCCAACACAAATTTCTTTACTGCATATACAATAGTTTAAATGACTGCAGTAGTATCAGGGATAAAATTATTCAGACCAACCCATTGAAAACTGAAAACAGGGCTGTGTTGACTCAATAGGTCAACACAGACCCTCCTCATCTGAATACCTCTTGAAAATAATATTTTTATATGCCTTCTTGTAATTATTCAGGTTTGGACTTCGCTGAACCTCCATGCTCAGTCGATTCCACAAACTCACTCCACAACTGAAATGCACATCGTTTTCAATGTTGAACCAGCAAAATGTACCTTGAAATTAAGCTCTCGTCTCAAATTGTAACCCCCCTCTTTATCACTGAACATCTTTTGTATATTACCTGGCAAAAGCCTGTGTCTTGCTCTAAACATAATCAGTGCAGTTTTGTATTCAACAAGGTCCATGAGCTTCATAACATGTGATTGTAAAAACAGTATGTTTGTGTGATCCAGGTATCCTACCTTGTTAACAATTCTAATGGCTCTTTTTTGGAAACTACATAATGGTTTTAGATTACTTTTATAAGTATGACCCCAAATTTCTAGACAGTAGTTGATATATGGCAGTACAAGTGAGCAATATAATATATGAAGTGCTTTACGGTCCAAAATGTGTTTTGTTTTTCCCAGGACTGCGATGCTCCGTGCGACTTTTGTTCTTACATAATTTATATGGGGTTTCCAGCAGATTCTGTGGTTCAGTATTACACCCAGAAATTTATTTTCATATACTCTTTCAATGTTAACATTATCTATCATCATTTGTACTGGTGTGTCTGTTTTACGGTTTCCAAATAACATGAGCTTGGTTTTATTCAAATTCAATAATAATTTGTTTATATCAAACCAATGTTTTAATTTACTCATTTCTGTGGTGGTGACCTCCAAAAGCTGCTGGAGATTTTCCCCTGAACATAATACATTTGTATCATCCGCAAATAAAACAAATTTCAACACATTTGACACACTACAGATGTCATTGATGTAAAGAATAAACAATATTGGGCCTAATACTGACCCCTGTGGAACACCACAAGTAATGTCAGCCAATGATGATTTATAGTCACCCATCTGTACAAACTGCTGCCTTTCATGCATGTAACTTTTCAACCAATTTAATGCAACTCCCCTTATACCGTACCTTTCGATTTTTTTAAATAGTATTTCATGATTAATGGTGTCAAAGGCTTTTTTCAAATCTATAAATATTCCTATGACATATTTGTTGGTGTCAATACAGTTTGTAATTTCCTCTGTCAATTCCATAAGTGCCATTGCTGTTGAGCTTTTTGCTCTGAAGCCATACTGACTGTCAGTTAGAATTTTTTGACTTTCAATGAAATGATTTAGCCTCACAACAAATAATTTTTCCAGTATTTTGGAAAATTGGCAAAGCAAGGATATTGGCCTATAATTGGTGAAATGATGTTTCTCCCCAGCTTTATATATCGGAATAACTTTGGCAACTTTAATTTTCTGTGGAAATGAGCCAGTTGTCAAAGATAAATTAAAGATGTATGTTAGTGGTTGTATAATGGAATCAATTACTTTCTTAATCAAGATCATGTCAATGCCATTCCAATCTGATGATGATTTATTCTTACACTTGCTGACAATGTCTTTGATTTCTTTTCCTTCTATGCCATTTAAGTACATTGAGTTGACATTACGAACAATATTCCCCTCAGGATCCCCACCATTACACGTGGCCTTTATTTCCTCAGCCAAGTTCGGTCCTACATTTACAAAGAATTTGTTAAAGCCAGTAACCACATCATTCATGTTACTTAAGGAAGTATCATTGTCAATAAAATATTCAGGGTATCTCCTATTATTTGAGCCATTTCTGATAATACCATTTAATATTTTCCAGACACCTTTAATATTGTTTTTACTATTCTCTAATAATTTGGCATAATATTCTTTTTTGCATGTCCTCATAATATTAATTAATTTATTTTTATATTTCTTATATTTATGTTCAGCCTCTGCAGTTCTTTGCCTTAAAAATTGTTTATAGAGGGTGTATAGAGGGTGACCTTTTGTGATCCATGGGCTGCCAATATGTTTTTTCCTGACATTATATTTTTTCATTGGACAGTTTTTGTTGTATAACGCCTTAAAGGTCTCAAGAAATATTTCATAGGCTTTGTCAATATCCCTTTCTTCATAGAGATTACTCCAGTTTTGTGCTAGTAAATCTCTTCTAAATGCATTAATTTGCTGCTCTGTTCTTTTTCTTCTATATATAACTGTATTTTCCTCTTCTCCTTTCGCATAGTTACAGCCATAGATCACAAAAACTGGCAGATGGTCACTGATGTCTTTTATGAGCAACCCACTAACTAAAGCGTTGTTCATGTAATTTGTAAATATATTATCTATTATTGTGGCACTTTGCACTGTTATCCTACTTGGTTTGGTGATCAACGGATATAAACTTAAACTATACATTGTGTTAATGAACTCCTCTATCATTTTATGATTATGGGGATTCAATAGGTCTATGTTATAATCTCCACAGATGAATGTCACCTTCTGGTTAGTATTGGAAAATAACACCTCCATACTATCCTTAAAGTGTTCAATGCTTGAATCTTGTACTCTATATACACAGCTGCAAATTATATTTTTTTGTGCATCGGTAATGAGTGGGACAGTTGGAGGGGTCCAATCTAAGTTCAGAGAGAATCATCCCATGGCCATTTATGTGCACTGCTATGCACATCAACTTAATCTAGTCCTGTGTTTCACCTGCCAAGCCATACCTGAGGCCAAGGATTTATTTGACCTGCTACAGAGTGTGTACACATTCTTCTCTGTCTCTGTTGTTAACCATCACAAATTCAAGGAGACTCAAAAGCAGCTAGGCTAACAGCCATCTTAACTTGTGCAACTGTCTAAGATGCGCTGGTCGTGCCAGTTGCGTTCTGTGAATGCTATGTTAGACAATCTCCCTGCAGTGCTTCAGTGCCTATCCAGCATCAACAACCCTATGGCAGTGGGGCTCCATGTCAAACTTGCTAGGTTCTCCACAGTGTATCTGTTGATGATGTTCAAGACTTTTTTGTCTGTGACTGAAAACCTACACAAATATCTGCAAACTCTAAAAGATATGCGCACAGATGAGAAGGCTGCTGAGCTTTATGACAGAGCAAAGACCTACTGTGCAGCCAACCAGATCCCAGAGTCATGTGCTGTTACCACACAAAGGCAGAAGCAAAAACGCATGGAGGACTATGTAGTGGACTCTAGTTGTGGGGCAGTGAGTGACCTAGGTGATGCAGAGAAATTGAAAGCAAACTTGTATCTACCTTGCCTTGACAGGATGGTTGCTGAGATGGATCAGCGTTTTTCAACTCTCAACAGCCAAGTTATAAAAGGTGTTCAGGCCTGTAATCCAGGATCTGACAACTTCCTCTGTGAGGAGGACCTCAGAGGTCTGGCAGATCATTACAATGTTGATCTAAAACCTGAAGAGGTGTTAATGGCCACAAACTATCTGGCCAGAAAGCGGGAGAGCCTTCCAATCACAGTCATGCAATGTCTTTTCAGCTTGCTGGATCAAGCCATGTTCCCAATCTTGACAGAGGTCATTCAGATCTCTCTGACCATCCCAGTGTCCAGCTTCACTTGTGAACGGACGTTCAGTGTGCTGAGACAGCTCCACACTTGGCTGAGAAGCACAATGGGGCAGGATAGGCTTCACCATCTTGCCATCATGTCAGTGGAGAGTGAGGAACTTTCTAAGTTAAGCCACAGCCAAGTGATTGACCACTTTGCAAAAATGAAAACAAGACGTTACAGTTTACTTTCCAAAAAATGATTCCCTGAAGAGACACAAAACAGTTGTTCATTCATCTTCTACAATGGAAATAAAAAACCCCAGAGATGTAGGGATGATTTTTTTTTTTTAATGTTTTTACTTTTGTAAATGTTCAATTTTCAGATGTTAACTAAAATAAATATTTCAAAAAGATTCATTGCTCTTCCTTTTTGCTTTTATCAGTAATGGTTTAGAAGTATAGAGTAAAGTGCACAAGTAGGCCAAATGCATTACCGCTGTACATTTCAGGTAGTAATTCAAAGATCTAGACAACAACATAGTCTGATATGATTGAATAGTTTAAAGAACTAATGTTTTTTATGATAAATAAGTGCTGAATATGTTTTTTTTCTTGCGCACTTTGCACGCTCTCATGAATTTTTTGTGCCCCAGGTGTGCCCCAGTACAGTATTAGGTCTAGTGACGCCCCTGGGTTCGAGTGTTTTTTACGTGCTTCTAACTCAGTTAAATGCATATTTTGAATTCCCAAAAAAACACTTAACCAGGCCTCTTGGAGACACTGAAAAATACTCACACAAAGTTGTGTTAATAAACAATATATTCATTTATCTAAAGCATTTCTCCTCAACAAAATTATCAGTCGGATACAAATATTTCTCCCTTTTCTTTTGCTCACTGGCAGACTGCGTCTCGTCAGTGGCTTTGCTTAGAACTGAGCAGCGGGGCAGAGCAGCAGAAAGCACTGATGGGCTGCACTGTTTTATAATGACGACTCGCGCTTGAGGGCTCTCAAATAACCTGGGAACACGTTGGCAGTTCATTGAGGATTTGTAGTGTATTAGCGACACGTGCGGGCCAGCTCTAATAGTGATCAGATATTATCATGCGGGCCAAAGATAATTATATCGCAGGCTGGACCTGGCTCGCAGGCCTTGAGATTGACATACAGTATGTACTCTAAGTGATAAGTAGCGGCACAGTGAATTCAGTTAAGGCTGAATAACCTCAGACCATCAAGTTTTGCTCAACAAAAGCTGCAAGACACCATGTCACATAAAAGAGTGACAGGTGATTTAACAGAATTTCTATACAGGAAAGACTGTGAAAAGGTGACTACTGCACTGGTGTAAGCAGGGTTGGCAGTTCACCAAAATGTAATATACCACAGAGCATTGATTCAGAGGCAACACTTAACTGTTAACATCAGATTCGGGATTAAACTTGCCTGACTTTGGGCGGCGAGCGTGGGTTTTTGGTTCCACAGCGAAAACCAACCACCTTCCCCCGGGGGACCATCTTCACCTTGACATTGGCAGGAGGCGGTGTTGGTGTGGTAATGGCTTCCAGAGGCTCTGGAGGACAGGAAGTTAGACAAGGTGGTGAGTGAGGACTTGGACAGAAGATCAATTACTGTTTGAAAAAGCTGACCCTGACTGGACTGTGATTGGTGATGCTGGAGGTGATGGCATGCTGAGGGTGCCAACTCACCGTAACAGAGGTCGCAGCGCTGAGGACAGTTCTTCTTCATGAATGTTTTCCTGCGCTCACAGAAACCTAGACGAGCCCATGGGTCACACACACGCTTCTTATCTAGACAGCCTGCATAAAAACACAGGTATATGAAAATATAAAACATAAAATACAGAAACAGACACACACACACACACACACACACACACACACACACACACACACACACACACACATATATATATGTATGCACATACATATATTTATATACATATGCATATACATATACAAGGTCACGGGCATTCAATGTTGGTTTCCGGCTCTGCCACTTAGGTGCAGTGATTTCTCCAGATTCTCTGAACCTTTTGATGATATTTAGATGTTAAAATCCCTAAATTCCTTGCAATTGTACTTGGATGTGGGCAAATGTTGTTCCTAAACTGTTCGACTATTTGCTCACACAGTTGTTCACAAAGTGGTGAACCTCGCCCCATTCTTGCTTGTGAATGACTGAGAATTTTTAGGGAAACTGCTTTTACACCCAATCATGGCACCCACTTGTTCCCAATTGGCCTGCTCACCTGTGGGATGTTCCAAATAGGTATTTGATAAGCATTCCTTAAATTTCTCAGTATTTTTTACCACCTTTCCCAACTTCTGTGTCACGTGTTGCTGCCATCAAATTCTTAAGTTAATGATTATTTGCCCAAAAAAAAAAAAAGTTCATTTCCACATGTGCAAATATACATATATATATACACACACACATTGTTACGGCTGTGTGTGTGTGTGTGTGTGTTTTCCCCCTTTTGTCTTCCCATAGCTGCCCAGGTGAAGTCACTGATGGACATTCAGACTCACCTGGTGTTGGGACTTTAAAGACCGAGAGCTGCCTGTACACCACTAAGTGAAAATGTCCAAATAAGGCCCAAAGTGTCAATATTTTGTGTGGCCACCATTATTATCCAGCACTGCCTTAACCCTCTTGGCATGGAGTTCACCAGAGCTTATCAGGTTGCCACTGGAATCCTCTTTTACTCCTCCAGGATGACTTCACAGAGCTGAGAGGATTTTAAAGATCTTACTAGACCCTCCAGGAATCCGCGATTGCGGAAATTATCGCAGATTTCAAATTCCAGTGGAAATTAAAGTAGTACGCGGAAAAAAAGGCGAGGTGCAGATTATTATATTTTACATGTAGTTTTCATCTTGGCCGCTCGGTGACGCGGTCAGATAGACGGGAATGGGAACTCACAGCCGAATGCGAAACGTTTGGCGTCGCCTGGTTGCTTGCGCGATCTGGTGTGTGTGTGAGGAGGATCCCAGATGGAAAGGCGGGCTGTAGAGTGGATGGCATATTTTTAATGGAGCAAAAAACACAGCGTATGATGGGCGACAGCGAGCAGCTCCAGCTACACTCAAAATGGAGCACTTTCTCTGACAAAATCCTCCGACGCCAGCAGTAAAGCTGTATTTCTTTTGTGTGTGAGAATCACAGCTCCAGGCATTTGTGTTCCTAAGCCATCACCCATGATAGTTTGGTGAAATATTCTGCACTTGTATTTGTTTACATTTATTATCTGACTGTTGCTCCATTTTGTGACAGTATAATATGCACTATATTATTCCTAAAGTTGCTGCAAATAAATCTGCACAAGGTGGACAAAGAGAATATTGATGTTGATTGATTATTTATAAGAGCGTTTCATAGTGTTTTGGTTTTGCAATTTATTTCATAAAATATTTTTTTCTTTATTTTGACATGAAAAAATATGTTTGCTTCAGAACTGAAAATTTCAGGTTGGTTTTTTAATGTCTGCAGAATCTCAACTTTCAAGCCGCGGATCTCCGCGGAATCAAGAATTGCTCTCCGCAGAATCAGGATTGTTCCTGGTGGGTAGGGTAGGTGAAGGAGCATGATCCCCTGCTTTAGTTTGTCACAGTACATGGTGGCATTCATAACTCCCTCAATGAACTGCAGCCCTGTAGTGCCAGCAGCACTCATGCAGCCCCAGACCATGACACTCCCACCACCATGCTCAACTATAGGAAGGACACACTTATTTCAATAATCCTCACCTGGTTACCGCCACATACTCTGTACACCGTCTGAACTAAAAAAGTTTATCTTGGTGTCATCAGATCACAGGATATGTGGGGCATCCTGGAGGAGTGAAAGAGGATTCCAGTGGCAACCTGTGAAGCTCCGATGAACTCCATACCCAAGAGGGTTAAGGCGGTGCGCACAAAATACTGACCCTTGGGGCCTTATTTGGACATTTTCATTCAGTGGTGTTGACATTTTATTCACTTTTGTTGCAAGGGGTGTATACATTAATGGCTCTGTGTTGAGTTATTTTGAGGAAACGATAAATTTACACTGTTACACAAGCTGTACACTGACTACTGTATATTGTATCAAAGAGTCATTTCGTTAGTGTTATCCCATGAAAAGATATAATTAAATATTTGCAGAAATGTGAAGGGTGTACTCACACACCTACATAAACACACTCATAATAAAAAAGACACACAGTAGCGGATCACAAAGAGGAACTTTCAGCACCAACTTATCACTACAGGCAGCGACATGAAGCTGGGTGTGGGAATTGATAAGATTTTATTGATATTGATGCCATTATCGATTTTGCACATTGATTCAAGTCTTTAAAGATTCCCTTATCAATGCCTTTCTTTGATTTAAAACAAATAGACTATAGGTTTTCACAGTACAACTCAAAATTTTATTGAGTCTCTGATAACAGAAAAAAAAATCTAAACCATGTTCAGTGAGAGTCTAAAAATAATCAAATGACAAACTATTTGTACAGAATCAACTTTGGTCAGTATTAAGTCAAATACATAATACGTTGTTAAGTCTGGCATGCATTGTGTTTATGTTAACACAGGACATACGTTAGGGTGACCATATTCTGAATCCCCAAAAAGAGGACACTACTACACAGGGTGGAGTTGTGTGCGAAGTTTTGAGTGTTTTTTATGCGCTTCTAACTCAGATACAGGCATATTCTGAAATCCCAACGACAGCGAGTGCATGTGTCACGTCAGTGGCTTTGCTTAGAAGTGAGCGGAGGGACAGCTGCAGACAGCACTGATGCGCTGCACTGTTTTATAATGAATGAATACATAGTCCAGACATTTGACGGATTTTATAAACTTCCCCTAAAGAGGACATGTCCTGGTAAAAGAGGACGTATGGTCACCCTAACATACGTACCTTCCATGCCGTGCTGAGACAGAGCTGCAACAGCTGACGACCGGCGGAGAGACTCAAATACATGTGACTTCTTATATTTGATGCTGTGCCCAGTTGACAAATGTTAAGCATGTTGCTGATGTTTCCACCTTTGCATGTTATCACTGCTCAACAAACATTGCACTGTTGTCTTCTTTCTTAGTACACTTAAGCCACACTTTAGATTGTTTCTGCCTACTTTTTGTACTGTCCACTGTTTTTTTCTTTGTCTCTGTTCTCGTTTGCGTAAACTGGCTGTCACATATGGAAGCAAATTTGTATCATAATTCAAATGAAAATAGATTAACAGAAATGCATTTGCATTTTCAGAATGTACCTGCACTGCTTGACTCATAAATAAAGTTAAAAATAAATAATTTTAACTGCACTTGCTTTTTCTTTTTCAAAATTGATCATTCTGTAACTTAATTCAAATGTAAATGAAAAAGCCATTTGAGATTTCAAAATATGCCAGAGAAAATATGAACCAAAACTCAATTCAAAATGTATGCAAGATGCATTTGCAGTATGGCTTTTTCATTCCAAAGTCAAAACTGCATAATTTAACTCAGAAATAAAATTAAGAATAAATTATACAAACTGCATTTCATTTTCTTATTTGAACTGCACATTTCGTAACACAATTTAAAAGAGAAACCAAACAAACAATAAAAAAGCAATTGCTTTTTTATTTTCATGTCCGCTTGTCGCTATCCGAACTGCGCAAGTTCAAATTTACTTCACCTTAAAACATTTATTTAAACTATGTGACAGGCTAGCTAGCAGGAGGCTCCAGAGCTAATGCCACGTATTTGCCAGAGCTCCTGCCCAGCACGGTGAGAACGTTTGGGCCACAGAGAGCACTGCCACCCGGTCAAAATTATTGCCTGTTTGGTTTCTCTTTTGAATTGTGTTACGAAGTGTGCAGCTCAAATAAGAAAATGAAAATGCAGTTTGTATAATTTATTCTTAATTTAATTTCTGAGTTAAATTATGCAGTTTTGACTATGGAATGAAAAAGCCATACTGCAAATGCATTTGAATCTTCAGATTTGACATTTTGAATTGAGTTTTGGTTCATATTTGCTGGGGCATATTTTGAAAATTAAATCTCAGATGACTTTTTCATTTACATTTGAATTAAGTCTTGAAAAAGAAAAAGCAATTGCAGTTCAAATTATTTATTTTTTAATTTTATTTATGAGTCAAGAAGTGCAGGTACATTCTGAAAATGCAAATGCATTTCTGTTAATCTATTTTCATTTGAATTATGATACAAATTTGCTTCCATAGTTGCAGGACTGTTTTTCAAGGCACCTGGAAGAAAGGAATCGTTGAGGGAATCGTTAAGAATAAAATGTAAATGATGTCAATGGATCCAACCATTAGGAACCGGGTCTCAACAAGAACCGGTTTTCAATTCCCATCCCTTCATAAAGCTCCTTTAATTTGACTATGGAGTCTCAGGATGCTCAAACCCTCTCTAAGCTCTGCCCCTTTGCTCTGTACCGTAGAGTCTCTGGATGCCCCATACATCATCCTGGCCGATGTTCCTCTGGCCTGTGTAGGTGGCATTGGGGTGCATAAGAGCCTGAGGATCTCTAGAGTGCCACAGGCCAAGGGCATGGCCTATCTCATGAGCAGCTACCTGGACAAGGTCGTTCAGCCACACACCTGCAGGTCATATGACAACACCTGATTTACACATACATTGACCCCGCCCACAGCACCCTGCAGACTAACAAAGTCGGTACCTTGTTTCCAGCTAAATCTAGACTTCCCCAGGATCCAGAACTCATGGTTATCAAAGTGGATCTCTCCACGCGGTGGCAGAAAGGCATGCGCCAGCTCGCCATTCAGACCATCAAAACACGGATGGAGAGGAGACCACCAGCAGTCAGTGTGGTTAAAGGTGTAGAAGCCTGAGACACATACACACACACAAAAAAAAAAAACATGACTCTGACCAAGTCTCTGTGCTCAGGTTTAAGCCCTGCCTCTTCTCATCTGTGGCTCAGTAACGTACCGATGGTGATGTCAGCAGTGGCGTTAACACCTGTGACCTCAGTAAATGTCAAAGGAGACACATCACTCCACTTAGTAAAGGCGATACTGATGGCCTTCCTCGTGTCCTCAATGTTCAGAGTGTTTGGAAACTTAGTGATCCTGAAAAAGACATACAGACACACAGAGAGACACAAAGATAGACACACAGTCAGACACACAGATGGACAGACAGACAGACAGACAGATGGACATCCACACAGACAGGCACGCAGAGAGTGAGACACGTCTTGTCATCTTTTATCCTTACTAAGGTTTCTCATTCCCTTTGTAGAGTCTGTCAGGCACAGGACTGCTGAGTGGCTCACGTCCTGAAAGGCACAGCTCAGGATAAAAGCCCCAACTGCAACAGGCAGACTGCCAATCAGAGAGATTTGGGGGGAGCTCAATCAGCTGATTTCGGCAGCTCCTGGTGTGTCTTTGTGGTGCTGTACTCAATCTCACCTTCTCACCTTTACCAACAAACTCTACCTGGATAAACCTCACTGAACTCTACCAATGGATCAGACACAAATCTGCAACATAAACTTCTGCTACCTGTACATTCACCTGGCTGATACCTTTACATGCCTCTAAATGACCTTAGCATTGATATGTTTGTTATTGACTGTTTGATATTAGTGTGTCAACTATTTATTACCTCTGCATGAACATTCAGTCGTAAAATTTGTATATTACCTGTATGGCACCTAAACACAAACCTAAATGTTCAACAAGATACAAACTAGCATGTCAACCACAAATTTACTGCAAAGTTCACCAGTATATCACCCGTATATTTACTACATTTTCTGCTGTATATTTACCTGTATTATTACCTGTATATTTAGCTGTATTATTACCTGTATATTTACCAAAATTATCATCCCCAAATATTTACCTGTATTATCACCTGTGTATTGTACCTTTGCCTTAACTCAATTTTACCTTTTTGCTTACCTGTATGTAACCTGTAATCTTACCTGTAGTTAATCTACTAGTCACATCGACACCATATTAGCAGTATGATATAGTGGTTGTTTTCAAACTTTTTAGAAAGCTGTTTTTACTTGTATTTTACCTGTTTGTTGAGCTGTAATCTGTAGGTATGTCACGTGTTTATCAATTGGTGAGCCTGCAAGTCTACTTGTGTTTAACCTGAGAGTTGATTTGTGTGTTTGACCTGTATTTAATCTGTCTTAAATGGTACGTTAACCTGAATCTTTACCTCTTTTGCCCTGATGTAACCTGTTTACCTACCTTTTACCTGTGTAATTTCTGTATGTTGACCTGTGGTTAACCTTTGTTTTTTCACCTGTATGACTACCTTTGTGTTACCTGTGTTTCACCTGTGTATTTCCATTTGACCTGTTTCTCTCTGTTTGTCTACCTATCCTCACAAGTTTCTCTTTACTTAATATGTCTGTATGTGTTTTACCTGTACATTACCTGTTTGTATATCTGTATGTCACCTACTACCTAACTAAAAGTTTACCCATATATCACCTGTGAATTCACTTGTATGTCAATCTTTAAGTGTGACTGTATATCACCTGTGTGTTCACCTGTTTATCACCAGTGTAATCACCTGTTTATCACCTGTGTGTTCACCTGTATGTGAGGTTGTGGTGAGTCCACTTGTGACCCACAGGGTTGATGGCATATCGTTTGTTTCTCATTCCTCCAAGCGTCTCCGTCACTCTGCAGGTCTGAAAAAACACAGTCAGAGCTTTGACCTATTAGCTGCTTTCTGGTGAGTGATGATGTCACTTCCTTTAATGTCCAAAAGGCGACACCATGACAGTAAGGAGTGATTTTTTTGTTACCTTTAGCTCCAAATGTTTCTGTAAAATCTGTTTGTAATAATCTGAAAAAAACAACAAACAAAAAAAAACAGTGAACTAAAACTCCCAGAGTACATTTAAGTAGCCAGCCAATCGGAGAACTCAAAGCTAATAAAGAAAAAACCTGAAACTCAGAGCAGACTACCTACTCTACTCTAAAGATAGAAGCAAAACAACTCTTAACATGAGATGAGATAAGATAAGATGAGATGAGAAGAACTTTATTTATCCCCCAGGAGAAATTAGATAATAATACCTGTAATGAACAAGGGAAAAATAATAACTCTAGTAAATAGGAGTTAAAAAATAACTACAATAAAAAGGTGAAAAATAATAACTCTAATAAATAAGAGTAAAACAACTCTAAAAATAAAGGCCTCACAATCAATCAGGTTGGGGAGATGGAGAATGGCTTTGTTTACAGTCAGAAAGAGTGGGCCGTCCCAAAATTTAAAATGTCGACTACACAGGCATAAGAGAACACAGCGATATCGTGATATTCCCAAATGTCATCAATAACTAATAGCTATTGACTGATATTAAAAGCTTTTTTTTATAAACACCGCAAAAAAGATGCTTCCTTCACAGATTCCTGCCTACCCCACCTTTAATCGGAGTATAATCAAAACTCTAGAAAAAGAGTTAAACAAAATTTCTCATGAATAACAGTAAAATAATTAAATTATTACTAGTTAATAAAATACTTATCCTAGTAAAATGATAACTTTGGTCAATAAGAATAAAATAATTGTTTTTGAAAATGGTAGCAAAAACATAACGAGAAAATAAGAGTAAAATAACAACTCTAGTACATAAGAGTAAAATGATACTTCTAGTAAATAAGAGTAAAATAATAACTTGATTATTAATAGCAAACTAATGATATAAAAAAATACTCTCTTAAATAAAAGTAACATAATAACACTAGTTAATAAGGGCAAAATAAGCATTGTTGCATTGCTGCACTCCAAACAGGGCTGACGCTGTCTCATGCGTTCATGATTCAATCACTAAATGAATCACTAATCACTAATTCCGGTAATTCTAAATTCAACCAAATCCACAGCCAAGTTTATCTTGACACCAAAGTTAATATAGGTCAATATGTTAGAGCATATTCACTCACTATCATTAACTTCAGTAATCGTAGCCTGACTCAAAATCTTTCATTCATCTGTTATTATCTATCCTCATCATCTTATCATTTATTGCATGTGTGTTGGATCAGTATTTACCCTGTAATAAATTGATCATTGTTTTTCTAAGTTCTTATCTGTTAGTGTTCTTCCAGAAGTGCAGTCCATAAAATGAGAATTTTGGCTTGATATATGAGAATGATTAATTTAAGATTGACATAATGTTTGATTTCTGAATTAAACTTTTGTTTTTCTTTATTTTCCTGCCATTAAAGGTGGGTGGTGCCCCTTTCAACAGGTGCATCAATGTCAATGTCAATCAATGTCATGTTAATCTTAGGACATTTATTACAAATTCAAATCGCTACATAGCATTAAATCCCTAGGAGAGTTAATTTTTGAAAAGACCTTAAATAGTGTGCGAAAATCCCCAAATCCAAATTTTCAAACCACTTTAGCCTACTTCAGGCTGGGTGTTGCCCATGGATCTAAGAAGCTTTTTTGTTTGTCTTGGGATTCTTAATAGGCCTTTAAGAATTCACAGCTGTGGGTGGCACACAGGGTTGGGGGTAAATTTTTTAATTTTCTAGGGGACGCTATGGAGCCATGTTTGGTTGGATCTCCATTTTTGACTTTGGAACCATAAGAGGAGCGCCCTTGTTCTGTGTAACAAATTTCATGTGGCTGTGCATTCCTAGAGCAATATCCCAGAGTGCTATTTTATAGATATAGTAAAACAAAACATGGTGCTGTTTTTTTGCAGCTTTGGTGCTGCGTCAGCAGTGTCTTGAAGCAATCTCAGCTGCATCGCATCAATAAAGAAGGAGTTACAGGCCATTAACTAAAAAAAAACAAAACATGTTTGCCTTTGCCACCAGGTGTTGCTAAAACATACCGATGCAAGATTGGTGTCAAACCGTCAGCAGCTGGACTGTTATCCGTAGGCTGTATCGGCTGAGTGAGATTGTGTTGGTTCGTTCCCCTTTAGTGGGGCAACATAAACTGTGATTCATAAAATAGCTTTATCAGTCGATTTTTAGTAATCAGTGTTTCGGTGTCAAACTATTTCCTTTCTGCGGCATAGTGATACTTACACACACGCAATCAAATATGCAAAGGGGTGATTTTTGTCATGTGGACCAACAGCAGGCGAGTCTCGTTGCCATAGTATCAGAAAAACACAAATATTGCGACAAGCGCATCTAGCAGCGAGACAAGCAAAGAGGAAGAAAAGAAAAGGAAAAAAGAAATCAGCCTTCAAAAGTGCATAAAAAAGGAATGAAACGATGCTATATGCATCTATCATCTGTCCAGAGTGAAGACGTTCTCGACTTTACAAGGATACGCTGGGAAACTTACAGAACTAGTATTAGAAAGTGGATTTCTCTACAGGGTAAGACGAAGGACCCCCGAGAAACTTATAAACATTGCGTTGATATCGACTTTGACAATGTTCCTGATGACGCTGGGTTTCACATGACATGCTACCAGCGATTTATTTGCAAAAGGCGTTTGAGAAACAAGAACGTGATGCAGTCGCGGGTCAGTCAAACCCTTCAGCCAGCATCGCCGATGCATCCACGTCCAGGGCATCTGAAACTCCATGAAAGAAACTTCGCTCGAGGTCATAAGCTGTATTGAGCCAAAGGAAAAAGTGCCTAGAAAGTGAATTTCGTTCCACTACGCTGGTGCTACTTGTTTAATGCATTTTTGCATAGACAATACCATTCTGGACTTTGAGTTAAAATATCTACTCAGACTATCTGTCAGACTTTTGTCACCAACCAGAAATCGACATATATGTGAGTAACCCAAAAAACAATTATATGGTGCTGCTGTTTCTCGGGGGTCCTTTGTCTCACCCTGTAGAGAAAGCCACTTTCTAATACTAGTTCTGTAAGTTTCCTAACGTATCCTTGAAAAGTCGAGAACGTCTTCACTCTGGACAGATGATAGATGCATATAGCATCGTTTCATTCCTTTTTTATGCACTTTTGAAGGCTTTTTTTGTGTTGGTGTTTTTCTGATACTATGGCAACGAGACTCCGCTCCTATTGGTCCACGTGACAAAAATCTCTTCACCCCTCTGCATATTCGATTGCGCATGTGCAAGTATCACTGCGCTGCAGAAAGGAAATAGTTCGACACCGAAACACTGATTACTAAAAATCGACAGGACGGCATGAGTAGATATTTTTTTTAGTAATTACTATCAATAGAGCTATTTTATGAATCACAGTTTATGTTGCGCCACTAAAGGGGAACGAAATTCCCTTTCTAGGCACTTTTTCCTTTTTCCCAATACAGCCTACCATAGACTGCCACCCTGCTGGGTGAAGCAACTCCGAGAACAGCACCTTATGTTGATGGGCTGCAATATAGGTCATTAATCCCGCCTCCGCCAGCAAAGCTTATGGAGCTGTGGACAAACTTTAGAAATTTATTACACAGAACATAAATGTTTCTCCCCCCTGCTTGCGGTGTTGACATGTAGTTACTGTCAGACTGGTTTGTGCTCAAGTCCTCTTTTTTCTGTGAAGTTCCATTTTTAAAAGTTATTAGGGGGTTCATGTTTTCTATGATCGACACCTGATACAGCCTATGGGCGTTCAGGGATTGCGTAGCTCTCCCGAGGGATACGCTGTTTGAGCCGAGCGTCATCACAGCGACTCTCTGTGACTGCACGCCCGAATGCGCGCATTGCTACTGCGCAGCGCTGGTTTCAGGAAATGAAGAAAAATCCCGGAAATACCGAGAGCTATTTGGCTTCAAATCCGTATACAGGCGGTAGGCAGAACCAAGTTGTCCATAGTATATACAGTCTATGTTAGTGCTGGGCGATCGGACGATACATATCGTGGGCACGATAGAAAATGTCTATCGTGCCATTTTTATTTTTATCGTTTCGGGCGATAGGCTGTATTTTATCCATAGGGCTTGTGCCATCAGATGATTCATAGTAACAACAACAATAATAATTGCACATTCAGTAAGTGTATTTGGTGTCGAACGGGAAAGAAAACAATATTTTCTTACAAAGAAGAGGATGCGTTGACATGTAGGCTTGCGTTTCTCTTTCGATTTTGCGACATGACGCCGCTTTACGTGCCCTCTTTGTGTCCAGCGTCTCCCGCCGTTGCGGGTTACCTGGGTTACACACGTGAGGGGATCATTGTAAGCAGTGCTTAATTTGTGCCGGAGCAAGTCGGAGCGCGATCCGGGACCTCTTTTGATCGGATCCGGGACCTATTTCAGCCATTCCGGCACCTGTTTCATCTGCTCCGGGACCTTCCCTGTAGAGGATGACATTTTTCGGAAATTCCCGTGGGTCACGTGATTCCCGCGGGAATCCCACGGGATGGGAGTCATTTTTTTATTAATCCCTTGATCGGGACGGGACGGGAAAAAAGCAACGGGAGTGGGCAGGAGCGGGAACAACATTAAAAGATGATCATTTTCAGCCGTGTTAAATAACCAGATGAACAGGTTCGTCCATTTTTGTAGTCATCTCTCAGTGAGAGCCAACACTCTTGACCGCGCCAGCAACACAAAAGAACTACAACAGTGGTTTGACTTCCTGTCAGCTGGGAGCGCGGCTGCGCATTTGTACCCTTCAAGCCAGCAGCGAGAAAACGTAATTTTGTGACATTCTGTAGTTTTTCAATCATTTCTGGAGTCGTGGCGAATCAAATCACCTTACCTGTCTGCCCCTGATAGGCGAATAAAGCGCTCGGATTCATGCTCGGGTCTTGCTACGTGCTTCAAGAGTAAAGTAAACAGCGACAGAGGCAGAGAGCAGCTTTAGAGGAGAAACATCTAGCAGTGTGAACAACCTCTTCAAAGACCTACCTTTTTAATAAAGCCTTTGGTTAGTTTTCCTCTATGCTTTATGCTTTTACTACCTTGCCTCTTACATTGCAACTCTATATTTTTTATTTTTTTAAATTCTTTTTTTATGCCAATCTGTGACTGTCATTCTATTGCTTTTTTTATTGTTGCTGCTCTTTTTTTACTGTGTACTGTAGCACTTTGAGATTTTTTTGTAAATGTAAAGGGCATTACAAATTAAATTTATCATTATTATTATTATTATTATTATTATGGAGTGCTTTGGCTCACACTATCGGCGTTTTCTGTGAGTGTTGCATAACTTTGGGTGAGCACAGACATGAACGCACTTCAGCCACGTATTTATTTATTCATTTTTCTAGTTTTAAGTGCTGGTCTTGTACTGGTACTGTACTAGTGCAGCTGTATTCACTTAAATTTTTCATAGAACTGAAAACATACCATAGCTATATCGTGATATATATCGTTATCGTGATATAAAATGATCCATATCGTGATATACATTTTTTTCCATATCGCCCAGCACTAGTCTATGTTGTTATCAAACAACTAAAATTTGGTGGAGCTTGGACTACATATAACAGAGTTATGACCAAATGTATGCTTCGGGGGACACGTCCTACATTGCAGCGCCACCAGGGCCAATGCCCTTTGGCGAGGTGCCACAAAATGCAACTGTCCATCAACTACAAGGAGTTTGTGCCTTTTTGAGATGCTTTGGACATTTTGGACTCTTGAGGGGCACTATTTTAGAAACAAACATTCTGGGATGATGAGACATTTGGTCCTGAATGCACCAAAAGAGCATTTGTTTGAGATTTTTTGAAGCAACAATAGCTGAGTTAGACTGCCCAAATGCCTTAAAAAACTCAACTAACTTTAGGGCCCCCTAGAGGTTAGAGCACAATGCGCCATTTCCGGTTGGATATTTTTCACAAAAATATTTATGCTCTCACCATCAAATTGACACGAAGTCATTACTGAACAAATTAAAAATGGATGAGAAAAAAATGTGTAACATGTTTGGGCCAAAAATAAGTTGTAGTTCCTCCCCTTGCATTTTAGAGAAAAGTTCAAGTACGTATAATGAAAGGTCTTGGAGAGCTCTACCTACCTACAAGATTTTGTAGTCCTACAAAGAAGTCCCTGAGCATGATTATCTATAGAGGTGGAATGGGCCAAAAAAAAAAAATAATAATCAATAATAATATATATAATAAAAAGCAATTCAAAAGGGCCCTCGCCCGCTGCTTGCAGTCTCAGCTCAGGCCCTAATAAGAACTCTAGTGAATAAGGGTAAAATAATAACTCCAGTAAATAAGATAAAAATTATAACTCTATAACCAAGAGCAAACTAACTAAAAAAATAACTAGTAATGAAAAATAAGAGTAAAATAATAACTTGTGTAAATATGTGCAAAGAAAGTAAAATAACTCTGGTACATAAGAGTAAAATAACTAAGTAAAATAATAACTAATAAATAAGAGCAAACTAACTATGTATAGTAATCACTCTTGTTAGTATGAGTAAAACAATTATTTAATAAGTAAGAGTAAAATAATAACTCTTGTAAAGAAAAATAAAATCGAGTTATTGTCAGCAAAGCCTACTCCACCACACAGCTGAAAATGAGAGGCATTTAGAGGCGGTTTTGATGGATAAGTTAACCATGAGGATGTTTGAGTTGGTCATATGATTGGTCTGTGGTCCTAAGAATCATGGGTAATGTAGTATGAAGACCAGAAACATGATCTGGGCTCTGTGGGTGATTCATTGGACAAGAGAGGAAGAAGCTGTTTCTGTTGCAGTTTGACACGTGGCAGCGCTCTAATTCAGTCCAGATGTGAGGCTCCGCTGCCTCTCCTTTAATGCGGACTCTCCTCACTGTCCTCACCCCTTCAGGTATCTGTTACCCTCATGTGAATTTCCTCTGCTCCTCCAGCTAAAACTGTACCAGGTTTCTCTCTGACCCTCAGCAGGAGTCAGTTTGCTTACTGTCTCACCAGGTTAGCTACTTCCTGTTCTAATGTCAAATGTGACCTTTACGATAAGAGTACTGTCCATTATAAGCTAAAAACAGTTCAGTATTGGGTCAGAGCTGTGGTCTTTTTTTATATTCAAACATGTCTCTGTCTTTATGATACAAACCGTCTCACAAATTTCTGTCTGAGTCTGGGTCTGAAATCTAGGACTGAATCTGAGACTGGATTTAAGTCTGAGACTAAATCTGATTGTGACACTGAGTCTGAGACTGAGTCTGGGTCTAATGCTGGGCTTCCACCAAACAATTTCACAATCCCAGACTAAAAACTGAAAGGGCTCTATTTTCGTGCCTCGCCGGACACGTGCCGCAAGCGCGGCGTCAGTCAGATCCGCCACGCTGACAAGGCGTTCCCAAGCACATTTTGGTATTTTGGTGACCCGCGCAGCCCGGCGTAAGTATCCCCCCTCCCTAACTCAGCTCCTCCCAGCAGCTTAAGTTGTAGCGAGGGAGGAGATAGGGCGGAGAGTGGGTTTAACACAGCCGAGACCTGTTTTCACCAATCACATAATCTCCTCTCCTTGCCTTTAAATCCGCCACAGGCGAGGCGTATTACTATTTTCATGAAGTAGTCAAAGAGATCAAGAGATGTCTTAAAACAGTAATGCCACAAGATGGCGACAGAGGGCAGCTCCTCAACAAGTGTCAGTGTAAGCTGCATTGTGCGTCCTTCACACTCTCTCATATGGATTTGGTGTGTGTAATGTTGGACCCACTGGTAAGACAAACACCATTTTCCACAAATAAAGACACTCACATAAAGTTGCATATATTCAAACCTCACGTGACAAAGGTGGGTTGTGCGCACAGATCACAACATAAACTCCAAAAATGGCATTAAAATTGGAACCATCTGTGCGTAAATGACGCATTGCGCTCCGTGGTCTGGCTCTTTCTTTCATAGATGTTGGCATATAAAATAAATTTGGCCCACAAAACTGAATATTATAATATCCGTATATAGGCTTAAGGTAGATTACGCATCTGAGCACTGAAACAAATCATCTGTTCAGCTGCAGCAGCAGCAAAACGGACAGAGGACATGGAGACGTGTCCAGGTCGAGCTGTGCGAGAAATAAGAGGAAGAGGAAGAAAGAAAGGGGGGAGACGAATTACATATCTTGTTAACTTCATCATGTGTGTTTATTTACTTAGATATTTAATTTAATTTAATGCGGTTTCAGCTGTGTTGATTCGGTCAGGTTGTGTGTCCAAACGCGTGCCAAACGCGCTCATCAGATCAGATATAGATCAGAATATATCTATATAGATCTAAATGTATGTGCTGACTCAGATTAATAGTTGTTGATGATTATTTATTGCACTGAAATGTGCCTGACACTGTGGAAACCTGCCGGTGAGGCATCAGTGACGTATGTCGATACGCCGCAGGTCCAAAATACTACTAGACCAGCTGCGCTCCGCCATGCGCTGAAAGCTGACCAGGTTTGAATCGGCGAGCTTTCAGCGCACTTTACACGACGGTGGCGAGCACGAAAATGTCACTGCGCCCGCTGATTCTGTCGACACCTCCCCCTGCCACGCCACCACGACCAGCTTGGCGGATCTCGGCTCGCCTCCGTGCGGCTCAGTCCACGAAAATACCAAACTGGCCGTACGCCGGGCTCCGCCACAAGAAAATACAACTGCGCGGGGTCCGCCACCCTCCATCCCCTCACCAGCGTACACGAAAATAGAGCCCTGAGTCTCAACTGTCATAGTAACATAGTAAAAATGGTAGTGGCGAAGTAAAAGCATACTTTTATTTTTGGATCTGCACCAAGTGTGAGTCTTGGTTTAAGTCTGAGACTGAGTGTTTTAGTCTGGTTGTGTTTAAACTGAAACACATGAGCAGCTTGATGTTAAACAGCTGATCAGAGCTTCAGTTATTGAAGAGCTCTCAAAGTGGCAGCAGCATTGCCTCGATTCTCTCCGGGTCTGGCCTGCAGAGCGAGGCTCCGGGGGTGGCGCACTGATTTTTAGCGTAGGGAAGCCCACTATAACCTCTATTTTCGTGCCTTGCCGACGGCGTTGCGTAGGTGCGGCATAAGTCAGGTCCACCGCACCAATGAGGCATGCCCAAGCGAACTTTGGTATTTTGGTGAGTGGCGCGGCCCCCTGCATAAGTATCCCCTCTCCCTAACTCAGCTCCTCCCAGCACCTTAGTCAGAAAGAGGGAGGGGAGCAGGCGTGGAGTGTGTTTAACACAGCCGAGACATGTTTTCACCAATCAAATAAGCTCCTCTCCTCACCTTGAAATCTGCCACCGGTGAGGCGTATTACAAATTTTGTGAACTAGTCGAAGAGATTAAGAGATGTCTGAAGACAGCAATGCCACACGATGGCAACAGAAGGCAGCCCCTCAGCAAGTGTCGCAGTAAGCGCTGTGGAGGGCGTCCTGCACACTCTGTCAAATAAGCACAGAGGGATTCGGTGTGTGTGGGGAGGTTCCCACTGGTAAGACAAGCATCCTTTTCCACAAATAAAGACACTCACATCAAGTTGCATACATTTAAACCCCACATGACAAAGGTGGGTTGTGCGCACAGATCACAACATAAACAAATTCCAATAATGGCATTAAAATCGGAACCACCTGTGAGTAAAGGACGCTTAACATATTCTTATGTGAGCCTAACTCCGGATTGAATATTCACAGAATTTTAAGGATGTGAGAACATCAAATAAATGGGTTTTTTGAATGGCAGTTTGTATTATTTTTTAAGTAAATAGCTCATCTGATCAATAAAATAAATCATCTGGTCAACCTTGCCACGGCAGCAGTGGCAGGACAGGGAGAGGACACAGAGACATGTCCAAGTCGTGCTGCGCAAGAAAGAAAAGGAAGAGAGAAAGGGGGCGGTGGAAGAATCAAATATCTTGTTGACTTCATCATGTGTGACTTTCTATTACTGGATATTTAATTCAATGCGGTTTCAGTTGTGTTAATTCGGTCAGGTTGAGTGTCCAAACGCGCTCCTCAGATAAGATAGAGATCAGAATATATCGATTTAGATCTAAATGTATATGCTGACTCAGAGCGTTGCACTATTGGTTGTTGTTGTCCATGTAGATTCTCATTCATCCAGGTCATGGTTTTCTTGAAGACTCCAAAATCAGGCAACTGGACTGTGAAGAGTTGAGAAGACCTTTCCCCTCTTATCCAAGAAGCTTCTTCAGTTCTAATTATTGCTAGTGGGAGGAGCAGATATTTATCTTACTGGAGAAGGGGACATCCAACGATTGGGAGGAGTTGGAAAGAATGGGTCGGTGAAAGGGTCGTTAACGACCCTTGTCATGTGACCACATGACTCATGCCACCTGAGTCATGTGGTCCCAGGTGTGAATGTCTGTGGACTTTCCTGGGGAGAGAGCTGAGAACTGCATTGTAAGTGCCGGAGAGATTGTGCCTGAGTCCACCCCCTCTGTTTAGAGAATGTTTCTCCTGTCTGGTAAAGATGGCTTCTTTAACTCCTCTTTCAAACCATCTGTCTTCTCTAGCCAACATCTGTACATTGCTGTCCTCGAAAGAGTGACCCATGTCCTTTAAGTGAAGGTGGACAGCTGAGTCCTGACCTGAGGAAGTGGCTCTCCTGTGTTGAGCCATGCGCTTGTGAAGCAGTTGTTTAGTTTCCCCATTGTACAGATCCGAGCATTCCTCGCTGCACTGGACGGCAGACACCACATTACTCTGTTTATGTCTCGGTGTTTTGTCCTTGGGATGGACTAGCTTCTGCCTTAGTGTGTTGCCAGGCTTGAAATGAACAGGAATATGGTGTTTGCCAAAGATCCTCTTGAGTTTTTCCAACAGGCCTGCAATGTAAGGGATTACAGTGCTCTTGCGTATCTCCTCCCTTTCGTGTTCAGTGTTATTTCTCTTTCTGTTCTTCACAAAGGCCCACTTAGGGTATCCACAGGTTGTCAGGGCATTTTTGATGTGCTTCTGTTCGTTTTCCTTACCTTCTTTCTTTGTGGGAATGTTCTCAGCCCGGTGGTTGAGTGTTCAAGTAACACCCAGTTTGTGCTGTAGAGGATGGTGGGAATCAAAAAGTACATACTGATCCGTGTGTGTTGGTTTCCTGTACATTTCAACGTTGAGACACCCATCTGCCTCCAAGTGTACAGCACAGTCCAAAAAGGCCAACACATTGTCCTTGACATCTTCACGGGTGAACTTGATGTTGCTGTCCATTGTCTTGATATGGTCAGTGAAGGCCTCTACTTCATGTGTTTTGATCTTAACCCAGGTGTCATCCACATATGTGAACCAGTGGCTAGGTGCTGCTCCTTTATTGTGTTACTCTGTAGTCAAGGCTTCACAGTCCAGTTGCCTGATTTTGGAGTCTTTAAGAAAACCATGACCTGGATGAATGAGAATCTACATGGACATATTGGATCACACTTTGGGTTGTATAGTGGCCAACCTGTACATGGAAGAGGTAGAGAGGAAGGCCCTAACCTCCTTCAAAGGAAGCTTAAAGCTGACCAGGTTTGAATCAGCGAGCGTTCAGCGCACTTTCCACACCACCAGCGGGCACAAAAATGTCACTGCGCCAGCTGATTCTGTCACTACCTACCCCTACCACGCCCAGCTTGGCGGACCTTGCTGCACCTCAGTCTACCAAAATACCAAACTGGCTGTGCGCTGGGCTCTGCCAGGTGAAAATACCACTGTGCGGGGTGCGCCACCCTCCACCGCGCAGCCGGCAGGCCCTGAAATAAAGCCCTATGTCTGAACCTGCTGTTTGAATCAGTCAGAGTTTCACAGGAATTTAAATGCAGAAATACTTAGAAATGCAATTTTTGCACTTAGTTTTCTTTTGATATGCCCTCAGGCATTAGAAAAACTCCATATGAAAATACAGACAGAAAAACATGATTTTCATCGGAATGGGTCTTTAATGTGTTTTGTGTGTGTGTACACTTGTGTGTATGAGTGCACTATCAGCCTGAATGCTAATGTGTTCAGATCAGCTGATTCTAATCGGGAGTTAGAAACAGAGTCTGAGTTCATCTCTGCAGGAGGACCTGCTCTGAGTCTAAAGAGGGTTAAATAACTTCTGGCCCAAGTGTTTTCTCCATGTGTGTGTTCTGTGAGTTCAGAACATCCTGATCAGTCTGCAGGCTGAGAGTCAGCTGAGGTGAGCTGAGTTCTTAAAACACATCTGACCCTGTTATACATGCGTCCTTGAATTCAGCATTTAAGAGCTTAAAGTGAACATCTTAACATGACATGTAAAAAACAGATATGCCAATCCAGTCTATGACTGAAGAGTTTCACAGAGTTAAAAAATAAAGAAAAGACATTTTCATAAGCTTCTGCCTGTCATTATTACCATCCACAGCCCTCAGCCAATCAGAAATCAACGCTCTCATGCTCTCTCTCTCTCTCTCTCTCACACACACACACACACACACACACGGGGAGTTCACAGACCTGAGGCCTCACAGCGGCTCCGCTCACCTTCATCATCATCATGAGGAGGAGGAGGAGGAGGAAGAAGAGGGTCAGCAGAGGGGGGTCCATGGTCAGACCGGGTTCTAGTGAGTCTATCAGGCAGTCCGTGCCATCAGATGGGCTCACGGTCACCTCGGGTCCTCGCGGATCCGGCAGAGCCCGGAGTCGCGTACGCGGTGCGTAAAGATCCGATAGGCTCCTGCAGTTTGAGTCTCTGTGGCCTGAGCTGACCCCGTGTAGCCGGTTCCGGACCTGGTGCGTCCCGCTCGGCTCCGGAACAAACTGAAGGAAGTTCCCAGAGAGCGCGCGCTGCTGCAGTGGGGTTGATCAGGGGGGTGGGGGCGGGGTCAGGTGAGAGTGAGGGTGTTCAGTTACAGAGAGGGCAGGAGAGAGGGGTGGGGGGGGGTTAACCCTTTCGAGTGAGAGTGACAAAATTAAACTTTGAATCAAACCTTGAAAGTATTTAGTATTTACAAAGTATTATGTTTGTGATCTGCGTTAATGTCACATTTCAAGATTAGAGCTGTTTCATTCTGCCATATGTGAGTACATGATGGTGATTTTGAAGTGTTCTGGAAGAACAGCCTGGCTCAGGGAAGTGTTAAAGATGTCTGTGAAGACTTCTTGAACTCCTCTGCAAAGAGGAGCAGGAATGCTGTCTAAACCTGCAGTCTTGCGGGTGTTGATGATGGAGATTGTCCTCTTCACATTGGCACAGACCCGTGGTGAGGGTTTGTGGTCTGTGATGGTCTGTATACCTTGCCACAGGCTCTATGTGTCTCTGCTGTCTAGTGTTCAGTATTCCACTTTCTTTATTCCTGTTTCTGAATGCCTCAGAACAGGTTGGTTATTTCCTCTTGTTTTTAGTTCAAATATCGGAGCAGCTGACAAACACTCAGATCTGGTCCCTGTTGATGCCTCTGAGGGCCCTCAGGGTCTGGGGCCACAGGTAGGACCACCCTGTGGTGTTTTCACAGCAGCTGCTGTTGTCCAGATGTGCAGCAAGTCCAAACAGAGACCAGAGACACTGCCCACTGCTGACCAGAGCAGGAACTGAGCTGCTGCTGCTGTTTGAAGGGAACGTTTTACTTCTACCCTATCTCTTCTTCTTCTTCTTCTTCTTCTTCTTCTTCTTCTTCTTCTTCTTCTTCTCATTCTTTTTCTTCTTCTTCTTCTTCTTCTTCTTCTTCTTCTTCTTCTTCTTCTTCTTCTTCTTCTTCTTCTTCTTCTTCTTCTTTGTCTTCTTCTTCTTCTCATTCTTGATCACCTTCTTCTTCTTCTTCTTCTTCTTCTTCTCATTCTTGTTCACCTTTTCTTTTTCTTCTTATTCTTGTTCTCTGTGATCCTGGAGTCTTTGTTTCAGTGCTTTCTGTCAGCTGTGGTTTCATGGAGCTGTAATAACCAGACAAATGGTGGTGTAGTCAGATATAAATATTTGTTTATGTGCTTCATAATACTCACCAGCAGGGGGCACTGTCTGGGTCAAGTCTAAACAAACACAACTGACAGGACCAATCACAGACTGTTTGCAGCTGATGTTATTTCTTAGTTTTAAAGGGAAACCAATACAGAAATGTATTACACCTGTATTCTCTCCAGCGTTCATCAAAGGGTGACTCCACTGACAGTGAAATCAGTGTGATGGTAAAGCAGAACATAAGGATGAGGTCCTGCCATATTTCTGGACTTAAAGAGGCTGCTTAGTCAAATTTAATGTGGAATCTGGCTGTATTTCAAGTCCCTGGTTGGAGATAGATGGAGGACAGTGATAAATGGACCTGATCCACTAAATTCATCAGTATCACCCTCTGTTCACCTCTTCTTTGACCTGCTGACTTCCTGAGAACCTTAAACAGAAAGAAAACATTTACAGGATCCTCCTCTGGGATCCTGCTTCTATCTATCTATCTATCTATCTATCTATCTATCTATCTATCTATCTATCTATCTATCTATCTATCTATCTATCTATCTATCTATCTATCTATCTATCTATCTATCTATCTATCTATCTATCTATCCATCCATCCATCCATCCATCCATCCATCCATCCATCCATCCATCCATCCATCCATCAATATTAACATTTACACCACAGTTTGTTCAACCTACACAACATCAAGTCATTTGTGCACATCATTATAGCAGTTTCTCATTCCTTTAATCAAGTTGCAAATGCTTTTGGACATGCATCAATTGCTTTCACATAGTTCTCTGGTGTTTTATAACATTATCATTTGCTTCTGTCATGTCAGTCAAAATACATACTTATAAATGCTGGATAGTCATTCCCATTTTTCTAAAAATGTCTCCTAAAATAATCAATGTCTCCCAGGTGAAACTCAGTGTTTACTTGAGAGGAACACTGTAATTTTAATTATTCAAACATTTGTTGGGGAGAACAGGTGAGTCTATCGGACAGTAATTCAGTACTACAGTTTTTCTCAGTTGCTTTGGTGCATTTCTCACATCACAATTACAGTTTTTCTCAGTCACTTTGGTGTATTTCTCAGAACAGAATGAAAGTTCTCACAACTATTAGTTCAACCTCCACAACATTGAGTCATTTGTGCACATCATTGTAGCAGTTTCTCATTCCTCTCAACAAATTGCAAATGCTCTTGGACATGTATCAGTTACTTTCATTCAATTTTCTGCTGTTTCATAACATTATCATTTGCTTCTGTCGTGTCAGTCAAAATAAGACATATTTATGAATGCTGGATAGTCATTCCCTATAAAACTAGTAGTTCTCAATTCATTGCTTGAGTCATTACATACAAAAATGTTGAACAAGTTCTTAAAATCTGTCAGGCTGATTTCATACAGTCCTCTATGAACATGGTCACCTCACAAGGAGGTGTGTGAAGCGTTAGTTGTAACCAATGACAAGCCACATGTCCACAGTCACTCACCCAACAGCACCCTCTGTTGGCAGGCTGCAGTATAGGTCATAAATCCCGCCTCCGCCAGCAAAGCTTATGGTAGTCGGGTCACGAAGTAAGATTCTGTGACCATACTCTGGCAAGGATGTTTTGACGATTGATTTGACCTCTATGGACCCTTTAGAAAAGATTTAGCCCCCATGTCCCTCGCAAAAATCCCAGCAAGTTTTTTTAGTTTTTGTGAACTTTTTGTGAAAATAGCAGATCTACAACACCTTGTATTGTGATGCGTGTGGGCTTGTAGATCGGCTATTTTCAAAACTTTTGCCTTTTTCTTATACTATTTGACAATTTGGCCAATGGTTTAGCATTGTTTGTTGATTACTTTGGATGCAGTGATGATCTTTTTCTTTGAGGATCTTGTTAGGAAGTCCTAACATTATCATTTCACTGTCATCTGGGTGTACCCCACCAACCAATGATCAAGTACAGAGAAAACTTAACTTTTAGATCTGCTATTTTCACAATATCTATATGTGGAACAGAGTCAAACAAATTGGGGGTTACCCAGTTCAAATATGATTGTTTTGGGGGGTCAAGTCCTGAAAAGGTTGAGAATTACAGTACTGGATGGCAGCCATCTTGAATATCGCGGTCAAAACAAAGTTGCATAATTAAAACTATGTCAGATTTGGAATCCTCAAGCTTGACTTGTATGGAAAAGTGCCTTCATACATGATTCTAGGTCATCCAGATCAAAAGTTAATTTTTAGAGATGGCGCCGGCCGCCATCTTGAATTTAGCTGTCTAGCAAAAAATGCCGGGATTTTTGTGAGGGACCTGGGGGCTAAATCTTTTCTAAAGGGTCCATAGAGGTCAAATCAATCATCAAAACATCCTTGCCAGAGTATGGTCACAGAATCTTACTTCGTGACCCGACTATTGGGCTGTGGACAAACTTTAGAAATTTATTACACAGAACATACATTTTTCTCCCCCCTCCTTGCGATGTTGACATGTAGTTATTGTCAGACTGGTTTGTGCTCAAGTCCTCTTTTTTCTGTGAAGCTCTGTTTTTAAAAGTTATTAGGGGGTTCATGTTTTCTATGAATGACACCTGATACAGCCTATGGGCGTTCAGGGATTGCGTAGCTCACCCTGGGGGATACGCTGTTTGAGCCGAGCGTCATCACAGTGACTCTCAGCGACTGCGCGGGCCGAAAGCGCGCAGTGCTACTGCGCAGTGCTGGTTTCAGGAAATCCCGGAAATATTGAGAGCTATTTGGCTTCAAATCCGTATACAGGCAGTAGGCAGAACCAAGTTGTCCATAGTATATACAGTCTATGATATAAACCAAGCAGGAGATAGTGTGTACCATTTCTACAATTCTGTGACACAAAAATGGAAGGTCAGCGTTGTGGAGGAGGGGTGAGAATGCAGGGAGGAAGGGGACGGGGACAAAACAGAGCACAGGAAGAAGAGGTAAGGTACACACAGGCCCGGTTCTACGGGGGTGCATAAGCATGCATTGCACCCTCAGTTTATGTGGCTGCATGCTCAGTTGGAAAGAGGGAGAAGTGCACGCGCGTCAGGGCACGTCACTCATCTGCCTGCGTGCAGCGCGCTGTTACCTGCACTAGCAAGACGCTGCTCTCTGCTGCACCGTTAGCACAAAGTAAACAATGGATATTCGAAAGTGGTTCCAGCACAACCACGCCAGCAAGTCAGACAACGGTGGTCGTGGTGAGACAGAGACTCGATCCCAACTTGAGCTTTGTGAAGCTGGCGTAGCAGCTGCTGCTGGGGAGCAAGCAGTAGCCTCGTCCGGCTGCTCACTCCTGCCCGAGCCGCTGCCGCCGCAGCCCCCCCTCCCTTCACCCCAAGGCCCAGAGCAGGCGCCCCCCCGACATTTGAAGTGGAATGATAATAGTCAAACAAGAATATTTAAAGTGTCTTTCAAATGCAGTTTTGCAGCAATATTGTAGCAGAAAAAAGAAAATGCTCCATTTAGTCTGGGCTACCTCACCCATCAGGCAATCTAACAGCAGATGTTTCTTACCCTGAATATCAGGCTAAGAAACATCTGTTACAATATTGCTGCAAAAATGCATTTGAGAGACACTTTAAATATTCTTGTTTGACTGGTAGAATTCCACTTAAAATGACTGCCATGTTTAGTGATGGTTTTGAGCTGTATAGTTAAAAATAGTTTGAATTTCTATGTTAAATATTCAGGGTAAGAAACATCTGCATTTCCTTTTTCTACAACAATTTTGCTACAATAAAGCATATGAAAGACATTTTAAATATTCTTGTTTGACTAGTTTCATTCCGCTTGAAATGACGGGAAAATGCATAATTTAGTGTCGAATAACGTGCCAGGCATGTGCACCCCCTCTGATCTGAGATGCACCCCTAGTCATCATTTTCTAGACCCGGCCCTGGGTACACAAACAAATCCCTGATGAAATGAGGGCTACACTTGTGGACCATGTTGTCAATCACAGCCTCACTTTGGCTGAGGCTGGTCGACAGGTGCAACCAAATGTAGGGAGAACCACTGTGAATCTTATGTTTGTTCTAAATATGTGACTGTGATTTTTTTTGCACAATGCTGTAGAACTGCAAAGAGCATATGCAGTAAATATGTGAAACATACATGTGTCTTGTACTCACTTACCACACTAAATACAGTAATGTGTGCAGCCTTGAGCATTTTCAGATAGTGTCACCAAGATCTGACTTTTTCGCATTGGAAAACACAGATAAACTGTCATAATAAAAACATGACAAAGCCATTTGACTGTCGTGTTCATGAACAATGGTGTCAGGACTTATTATTTTGATGACACAGACACTTTCATTGACATGAATACTTGCTTTTGAGGAGTAAACTAGTCATTTTGAGCAAGTGACATGCTTTTGCAGGTTATCCACTAGGTTTTGCAGTTTGTACTAATGGTTGTGAACTGTCAACTGTTGTGCAAATGTTAATAGTGATGTGTTACGGCTGTGTCTTTTTTTGTGTGTGTTTTTCCCCTTTTGTCTCCCCATAGCTGCCCAGGTGAAGTCACTAAGCGACAATCAGACTCACCTGGTGCTGAGAGTTTAAAGACCATGAGCTGCCTGCAGTCTGCAGAGGCATTTGGTGGGCCTCTCATTGGTGGGCCTCTCATTTGTGTTGTGGGTTCTTTGTGTTTAGTTCATAATTACCTCCGCCAAGGAGGTTATGTTTTCGGTAGCGTTGGTTTGTTTGTTTGTCTGTTAGCAACTTTACGGATAAAGTTACAGATGGATTGACCTGAAATTTTCCCCAGAGGTGTGTCTCAGCCCCAGGAGGATCCCATTACATTTTGGTGGTGATCCGGATCGCCTTCTGGATACAGGAATTTTTTGAAGGATTCTTTATCATTGTGAGATAGGGCAAATTTTTTGCATTTAACTCTATAAAAATGGCCAGAGTCTTTAGTAAAAAATTACACAAATGGATCTCAATGAGTTTTATGAGGTGTCAAAGGTTGATCCTGATCCAGACAAAATTCCGGATACTGTGATCCAGAACACACAAAAATTCGTTAAATATTGATATTGATGTGAGAATTGCACCAAAGCGACTGAGAGAAACTGTCAAAAAAACAAAACAGATTCATATCTTGATTGAGGAAAATTACTCGTGATCTTTACAGAGAAGAATCAATCAGCCGCTTCTCCTGGCTGTGGCTATGTTCTCCTTTTAATGACTGTGCTCATTTTTTCAATCTAAAGACAATGTTGACGTTTTCACTTTGATGACCATGTTTATGTTTTCACAGATGAGTGCGTTTATGTTTTCATTCTGAAAAACCTGTTAATGTTTTTACTCTGTTGACCAAGTTCATGTTATAACTCTGATAACCATGTTCATGTTTTCACACTGATGACCATGTTCATGTTTTCACACTGATTACCATGTTGATGTTTTTTTTTGTTTTTTTGTTTTTCTTTTTTACAGAGATGACGGTTTGTGTTAATAATCTGATGACCATGTTTGTGTTTTCACACTGATGACCATGTTAATGTTTTTACTGTGGTGACTGTGTTCA